TACAGCGACGAAGGCCGCTGGGGTGAGCAGGAGGTCGGTGAGCATGTCTCCCGCAGTGGGGCCATGGAAGACCTCGAAGAGATGCGGCGCGAATTGACGCAGTTGAGCTTGCAGCGCAGCAAGTCGACTACGGCGCGAAGCGTTCGTCGCTTCAAGTCCCGTGCCAGTCAGCGACATGATGAAGAAAAAGCAATCCAAGAGGCCGCTTCCGATGCTGAAGTGGACGGGGAATTCGATCTGGGCGAGTTCCTGGTCGGCGGCCACCTGGAGCGGCGCACCACTGCCGGCGAGCCGGCCAAACAGATTGGCGTCGTCTTCAAGAATCTCACCGTCCAGGGCGTGGAAACAGGCGCTTCGTTTGTGCGGACGTTGCCACATGCCGTCGTTGGCACATTTGGTCCGGATCTGTATAATCTGGTCTGTCGATTCGTTCCGGCGCTACACTTTGGCAAGAAGCCGCCTGTCCGAGATTTAATTTCCGATTTCAATGGCGCCGTGCGCGAGGGCGAGATGATGCTGGTGCTGGGTCGTCCCGGTGCCGGATGTACCACTTTTCTCAAGGCAATCGCCAACGACCGCGACGCATTTGCGGCCGTCAACGGCGATGTCAATTACGGCAGTCTCTCAGCACAAGAGCAAAACCGGCATTTCCGCGGCGAAGTCAACTACAACCCGGAAGACGACCAGCACTTCCCGTCGCTCACCGTGTGGCAGACGCTCAAGTTCTCGCTCATCAACAAGACCCGCAAACACGACCGCGCCAGTATCCCCATCATTATTGATGCTTTGTTGAAGATTTTCGGCATCAGCCACACCAAGAACACCCTGGTGGGCAACGAATACGTCCGTGGTGTGTCCGGTGGCGAGCGAAAGCGAGTCAGCATTGCCGAGACCCTGGCCACCAAGTCCAGCGTCGTCTGCTGGGACAACTCTACGCGTGGTCTGGACGCCAGCACTGCCTTGGACTACGCCAAGTCTCTGCGCATCATGACCGATGTCAGCAAGCGGACCACCTTTGTCACTCTTTACCAGGCCGGCGAGAGCATCTATGAGCTTATGGACAAGGTCATGGTCATCGATCAAGGCCGCATGCTGTACCAGGGTCCGGCCTATAAAGCACGTCAGTACTTCCTCGACCTTGGATTCGATTGCTCGGAGCAAACGACCACGGCCGATTTCTTGACTTCACTGTGTGACCCCAACGCACGCCAGTTCCAGCCTGGCCGCGAAGCATCGACCCCCAAGACCGCCGAGGAGCTCGAGCAGGTATTCAAGACAAGCGACACGTACAAGCACATCTTGGACGAAGTCACCAGCTACGAGAAACGTCTTCAGGACACCGATCAGGAGGATACGCGTCGGTTCCAGAAGATGGTCGCGCAGTCTAAGAGCAAGACTGTCTCCAAAAAGTCACCGTACACCGTTTCCTTCGTGCGCCAGGTTATGGCCTGTGTGCAACGCGAGTTCTGGCTGCTCTGGGGTGACAAGACCTCTCTATACACGAAGTACTTTATCATCATTTCCAACGCCCTCATTGTCGCATCTCTCTTCTATGGTGAATCCCTGGACACCAGCGGAGCCTTCGCGCGCGGCGGTGCTCTCTTCTTCTCGATCCTGTTCCTTGGTTGGCTTCAGTTGACTGAGTTGATGCCCGCTGTCACTGGTCGAGGCATCGTCGCCCGACACAAGGGCTACGCTTTTTACCGGCCATCTGCTGTTTCGATCGCCCGTGTAGTCGTGGACTTTCCAGCTATCTTCTGCATGGTTGTGCCTTTCACCATCATTGTCTACTTTATGACAGGTCTGGATGTGACGGCTTCGAAGTTCTTCATCTACTTCCTGTTCGTCTACACCACCACGTTCTGCATCACCTCGTTATACCGGATGTTTGCGGCTCTCTCACCGACAATCGACGACGCAGTCCGCTTTGCGGGAATCGCCCTGAACCTCCTGATCCTGTACGTCGGTTATGTCATCCCAAAGCAGACTCTGGTCCACGATTCCATTTGGTTTGGATGGCTGTTCTATGTCAACCCGATATCGTACAGTTACGAATCTGTCTTGACGAATGAGTTCTCCGGTCGCCTGATGGAATGTAGCCCATCACAATTGGTTCCCCAAGGCCCTGGTGTCGACCCGCATTACCAAGGCTGCGCTCTCACCGGATCGCAACTGGGCAGCACATCGGTCTCTGGTGACCAGTATCTGATGGCCAACTTTGAATTCACGCGCAGCCATCTGTGGCGGAACTTTGGCGTTGTCATCGCGTTTACTGTGCTCTACATTTTGGTAACCGTCATCGCTGCTGAAACGCTCTCGTTTGTTGGCGGTGGCGGTGGCGCGCTTGTTTTCAAGAAGTCCAAGCGCACCAAGAAGGTCGCCGGCCCGGCCAAGTCGAATGATGAAGAGCAGGCGTCCAAGGTGGATGATGATGCGGCCCTGTCCCGCGGCGAGCTGTCCTCTTCCGCTGACAACGATGCCACCTTCAACCGGCTGTCCTCCAGTGACCGCTGCTTCACCTGGTCGAACGTCGAGTACACGGTTCCGTACGGTAATGGCACGCGGAAACTCCTTAATAGCGTGAACGGATACGCCAAGCCGGGTGTTATGATTGCTCTGATGGGTGCATCGGGTGCCGGTAAGACGACGCTGCTCAACACACTGGCTCAGCGCCAGAAGATGGGCGTGGTCTCCGGTGACATGCTCGTTGATGGTCATCCTCTGGGAGCCGACTTCCAGCGTGGCACAGGCTTCTGCGAGCAGATGGATCTGCACGACAATACTTCGACTATTCGTGAGGCTTTTGAATTCTCGGCTATCCTCCGCCAGGACCGAAGCGTCCCGCGTCACGAAAAGATCGAGTATGTTAACCGCATTATTGATCTTTTGGAGCTTGAGGATATCCAGGATGCCATTATTGGTTCTCTCAACGTGGAACAGAAGAAACGAGTTACTATCGGCGTCGAACTGGCTGCAAAGCCCAGTCTTCTCCTGTTTTTGGACGAGCCCACCTCCGGCCTTGACAGCCAGGCTGCATTCTCCATTGTTCGCTTCCTAAAGAAGCTATCGCAGGCTGGCCAGGCTATCGTTTGCACGATCCACCAGCCATCCGGAGAGCTGATTTCCCAGTTCGACATGATTCTGGCGCTCAACCCGGGCGGCAATACGTTCTATTTCGGTCCTGTGGGCAAGGACGGCTCGGCCGTGAGGAAGTACTTTGCAGACCGCGACTTCGTTTGCCCCCCATCGAAGAACGTTGCCGAATTCATCCTGGAAACAGCAGCCAAGGCGACTCACCGCAATGGCAAGCAGATCGACTGGAACGAGGAGTGGCGGCAATCGGACGAGAACAAGCTAATGTTGGACGAGATCGAGCGCATCAAGACGGAGCGCAGCAAGGTTCCCCAGGCAGAGAGCGGCGAGACGCCTTACGAATTTGCCGCTCCCACTTCGGTGCAAATCATCGAGTTGACCCGGCGTCTTTTCCTGCAATACTGGCGCGACCCATCATACTACTATGGCAAGCTATTCGTCAGCGTGATCATCGGTATCTTCAACGGATTCACCTTCTGGATGTTGCCCAAGACCGTGGCTAGTATGCAGGACCGCATGTTCTCGGTTTTCCTGGTCATTCTCATCCCGCCCATCGTCCTGAACTCGGTGGTGCCCAAGTTCTACATCAACCGCGCCCTCTGGGAGGCACGCGAGTACCCCTCACGCATCTACGGCTGGGTGGCTTTCTGCACAGCCAGCGTTGTCTGTGAAATCCCCGCCGCCATCGTAACAGGCCTGGTCTACTGGGTGCTCTGGTACTACCCCGTGGGACTGCCCACCGACTCCAGCACGGCAGGCTACGTCTTCCTCATGTCCATGCTATTCTTCCTCTTCCAAGCCTCCTGGGGCCAGTGGATCTGCGCCTTCGCGCCCTCCTTCACCGTCATCTCCAACGTGCTGCCCTTCTTCTTCGTCATGGTCAACCTGTTCAACGGCATCGTCCGCCCTTATGCCGCCTACCCGGTCTTCTGGAAATACTGGATGTACTACGTCAACCCGGTGACCTGGTGGCTGCGCGGCGTTCTCTCTGCCGTCCTCCCGCCCGTCGAAATCCAATGCGCTCCGCAGGAAACAACCCACTTCCGCCCGCCCCCGGGCCAGACCTGCGCGCAGTACGCCGGCAATTTCGTGAGTGAGATCGCCAAGGCTGGCTACCTGGTCGAAAACGATGGGACTTGCCAATACTGCCCTTTCAAGAACGGCACCGAGTACATGGCCCAACTGAACGTCCATGTCGAGGATAAGTGGCGCTGCTTTGGCATTTTCCTGGCGTTCGTCATCATCAACTGGTTCCTCGTCTACTTCTTTATCTACACTGTCCGTGTCCGTGGCTGGAGCTTTGGCTTCGGGTATGTCTTCGCTGCGGCTGGTGCTCTGGTCGATGCGATTAAGAAGCCGTTTTTGCGCAAGTCGAGCGATGCTCAAAAGTGATTTTTTTTCTTTTTCTCTCCTTTTTACTGGTTTCCTACGCGCGCCATAATATGCATTGCAGGGGTTTATTTCTGAGCGCCTGTTGAGAAAGTTCATACTAGATTTCTTTATGTTATGGAGGAGCATTCTATACAAGTTCAATAGTTATAGTTTATAAATCGACTATATATCATGGATAATTCTGACCTTCAATAATTTAAATGATCCTTAAATAAGACGGCGCACCAATCTCATTTCATGTAACTGCTGAAGCAAGCAGAACAAGCAAAAACACAATGAATTCTCTGACTAGGGCATGGCCATCCTTGGAGAAATTACACTAGGATCAAGAGCGCCCCCAGCATACTCATCCCTCCAACTACTCCGCCCATTGCCAATGTCGACTTAAACGGGAACGAGACGTGGGTAGCTGACGAGGATCCAATTGCAGACGTAACGGCAGCCACCACGGAAGGCCATTCATTGAGCACCAAGGAAGCACCGCCTACGGATATTTTATCAGCAGAAGCACTCCGCTAGCCTGACATAAGAAATAACGTACTGTTAAACGGTTTGCACATCTCAAGCACGGCTTTCCCTTTCTCGAAAGCGGCGATTTCTTGGCTCTTGGTTTGAGTCCCACATGAGCTCTTAATGCACGCGGCCCCTTTCGATTCACCGCTCATAGTATCTTGAATGCTCTTCGTACTCCCAACGCCATTGCAGATGCAGTTTAGATCCTTAGAGGCGGAGCTGCTGTAGGAATCTGCGCCACAGGAACTCCCAAATTCTTCTTCGAAGTACTGTTTTTGACAGGACTGGTAACATGTAGGGAGTGTTTGCACCCAGGCTTCATAGGACTCGGGGGCGTTGGGGTTAGGAGTGGGGGTAGCGCTTGCAAGATAAGACGAAGGGAAGCTCTCGAGGAAGGACGACTGGGCGACGGCACTCGTGGCGGCGAGGCTGAGGACAGCCAGACGGAGAAAGGCGTACATGATGTTCACAGTATAGAGAGAGAGAAGATCTGAACTGTTCGACGAACCTTTTCCAGCAGTGGGACTATGCCCACTTATACCCCAGGACTCAGAGCGCGTAAAAAAACCAAGGTGCTTTGCCAAGTCCTTTTCGCTTTGTGTGTGAGGGGCCAAACGTCTATCTTTGGACCAAATTGCATCTGCACAAAGGCGGTGCTTAGCGCGCGCCGAACCATGGAGCCGCTAAGGTTGGTGGTGTTACGCCAAGTCTTAGGGCGATTTAAGTGTATATATTAACCAATTAAGCGCTAGTTGCGGGCTCGGGCAAGAATTAGTTACAGTCCTCAGTCCCAAGTCGGACCCTTATTTTTGGGGGCTTGTTGCTAGGTTCAACTAGCTTCTGGCCCCTTTATGCCGATCCCAATGGGGGAGGCTCTGTTCATTTCTATGTTTAGAATCTATGGGGAGAGTCACCTTTTTCAGCAACCACTTGAGCCGCTAGCAGATGGGAGGGGAAATGTGACGCATATGTCGGCATGATTACTTTCACCCTGGTTCATCTTTTCGTGAACATAATCGCATAGGTCTCGCCCCGAGTAAGGAACGGCCGACGGTAGCGACCGTACTACCATAGGTTACACAGGGTACCGCAAACGAGGCTGGTGACGGCCATGGCCTACGATGGATGGTCAGGAACCACGACACACGAAATTGGGAACTAAATCCAACAGGCTGATTTTCTAAATAGCGTCAGAGGGAAGAGAGAAGCGAGGGAGGTACCATCCTTATATAGCAAGGCCAAGAAAGACATTTGAGGGCAAACAAACTTGGAATGTCCAACCTCAATTAATAATGCGTATTGATGCTACCGATATCAATAGGGTACATTATTCACTACATAGCTCAGGGACAGCACAAACAAAAGAAAATGGAAGAGTCAAAAGACCTCACGGCATATTCGCTACATGCATCACAAGCCATGAAAAGGGTACTTGGGTAGTGAAGGTGAGGTACAGAGGAACCTCGAACAGAAGATAAGAGAAAGAAAAAGAAGATAAACCAAACCTCTTAGACCGGACAGTCCATATCACCTATATAACGTCAACTCCAGTCCAGCCTGGTTTTGGTACGCCGAACACCTTCCAACCAGAATTACCATCGTCCTAGTCCTAGGAGAAGAGAACACCATAATAGAAAAGAAAATATAAAAAATAAAGGGCTAGAACCCGCTGGAGATCTAGACACAACACAAGAAACAGAGAATGCAAGAGGGGATATAAGCCACCGGGAAATAAGAACGCCAACAGTTGTCGTTTCGGTATGATGGGTGGTCGTGAGCGCATCAGGAAGCTCGACCGACCCCTATACCGGCCAATAAAGAGAAAATGTAAGATAAATTATATGGACAGGAAGATAACCGAGAACGGCAAGCGAGGGATGCGGCAAGGGCATCCTGGCGTATAGTACACATTTTCAGTAATCACCGCGAGGACGTATTCACTGCGTTGACATCGGCCGGCGCTGTGGCCGATGTATTGGTGGTCGAGGCAAGTTGGGCGCGCAGAGACGCCACTTCGGCCCGTAGAGCTTTCATTTCATCGTTCATGGACCGGACATATGACCAGAGCTTGTCCACTTGGTTAGCATCTCCTTCGGGCGCCACCAAGCCATGAGAGCTGGAGTGGCTGTGCGTCGAGACGCGTTTTGTCGCGGCCTGCGGGCCAAATCGAGAATCGGGCGAGCTCATGCCCGGTGGTGGGGGGAGCTGAGGTGCTCCCGGCTGAGGAGGGGGTAGCCCTAATCCCGAAGGAACATGGTTAGGCTGGCCTGACCGTCCAAATGACGGCTGCGGGTGTGGCAATGACCCTGCCATGCTCGGGGAGTGGGCGCGATGGCTTTGTGCACCAATCTCATGCTGGGATGATAAAGCGTTCGGAGACAGTGGTTTGGGGTTGTCGTTGGTCGAACTTGACGGGAAAATTGACGCCCCCGAATGATGCCCGGCCGGCGGAAATGTCATATTATTGCCAGTTTGGGAAGTAGGCGACGTGGATGAAACGGATCCGCCATGGTTGTTGGAGGGAGGGAAGAGGCCGCCGGCGCCAGGACGACTAGCCGCGATAGGTGGATAGGTGCTGCGCTGGTGAGTGTGGAGTGAATCGGACCGAGGCAGCGGTTGCGCATCATGTTCCCTAATGCTCGGCATGTTGAGTCGTCTCTCGTCTTCCTCGTCCATGCGCTCCGGTTCAGCGTACACCAGCCCGTCCATCGCATCGTCCGGACCACCATCTCCGTACTCGTCATCTGGGCCAAAGCTCCCCATGCTCGCACGTCGGCCAGCACACCCGCCCTGGCCCTTGTTGTGCCGTGCAAGCGCATCACCGCGCGCGAAGCGACGCCCGCATTTAGGGCAAATATGTGGCCGCTCGCCCGTGTGAAGTTTGGTGTGTCGTTTCAGGTCGTGTAATCTGCGGAAGCGAGACTGGCAGGTCTGGCAAACAAAAGGCTTCTCTTGACTGTGTGTAAGGAGATGACTTTTCAGGTTATGCTGGCGAGTGAATTCTGTAGAGCAGTAAGGGCATCGATGTCTCTTCGCCCCCGGGGACCGCGGACTGCCCCTGTTGTAGCCGGTGTTCGGCAGGCTTAAACCGCGTCGCGGATCGTTAATGCCAGCCGTGGGCATGGGATATGAAAACGATTTATTACTGTCTTGGTCGATCTCCGAGGGGTTTCGTGGACGGTCCCCATCCTGAGAGGCTGATTCTTCGATGGGGCCGGGACTGGCCATGGTGGAGGTGTGCATAAGAGAGTCTTGATGGTGGTCTGTCGAGCCGTAGGGGTCGGATGACTCGGTGTTGGTTCTGGAGTCTACCTGCATGTGCTCCGGTGACGCATGAGCCGGGGGGGCTGGCGACTTCTCACTTGCACCCAACGCTTCCCGAGCGACTTGCGAACTGTTGCGTTCAGCCTCTCGGTCCTGTTCCGCCGGTCGATCTGCGGCTGAACTGGCCATCTGGGGCTGATCTCCCGGCGGCGAGACGTGTAAACCGGCGCTAGCGATCGAACTCAGGTTGTCGGGTTTGGATTGTTTGAGGAAGGAAATGGAGTCGGGACTGGCGATGACGGAGGGAGCGGATAGCGGGTTGGACACGGCGACGGACTCGGAGGTGGATTGTATCAATGCCGCCATGGAGGCAGAAAGGTTTAGGCCAGCCTCGACGGGAGGATGAACCAAGGCGACGGCTACTTCCGAGGGCATGTTAGACACACGTGGGAATCAGATAGGGCAAATGTAGACAAGGAAGGACTCGACCGACTTCATCCAGGGAAGAAGAGCAGGGGGGTGGTTTTGTAGAAGGATAGAAGAGAGGAGGGAGAGTGGCCGAGTGGTTGTCGTCCCGTCCAGTTCAGGGCGTGTGGGGCGGCGCGTTCTCAACTCACCTGGAACCGAGTGTGGCGCAAGCTGACGAGGGTGGTTTCAGCTTCTGTTTGTCAGACCGGGCGATCCACCAGGAATGCCTCGGGGGCTGGTGGAGGTGGAGAGAGGGGAAGAGGGCTTAGGCCTCGTGTCTAAAATAGAAGAGAACGGAAGAGCGACGATGGGGGGTGGGCATTGAAGGTCGGGACCGGGGTTGGGAAGTGAGGAACGCGGGCGGACGGACGAAGAGGAATCCTAGCAGGCAGCAAAGGCGACCAGTGCAGAAGGATGATAATTGGCGCAGTCCGGACGCGAGAAGAAAGAGAGGGAGGGATCACTGGGAGGCTGGAACGGGAGGAAGAGAGGAGAGAGAGAGAGAGTCCAGAAACCGGGCAGGGGCGTAGGTACAGTGTAATGGAACGAACAAGTCGAGGCTCTGGGAACCCTGACTGGTCGTGTAGAGGTACTTGTTGGCCCCTACATTTACGTATCGACAGATATGTACCAGTACCTGGATAAGATTGAGGCTGTGTCGAGTCTAACGCGATATGGTTGGCTCCGTAATCAGATGACCGTATCACTGCCAGTGTCAACACGAGAACCAGACACGAGGGACCGAGTACAGAGAGGATGAAGTCATGTTAGAGGGTTCAGGAGGCCGATGATTCTTGTTTTGTCTCGTTTCGTTCTCTTTGATTCTTCTCCCTCGCTCGGTCTTGCCACCACCTTACTCACGGTGGACGACGCCAGTGATGTCACGCCACACAACCGAGCTGAAGCGGACGGCGGATCGCCACGATCGGGACGGCAGATCTGCTGGCGGAACCAGCTCGGCCTGGGTCGGGACAAACAGGTCCAAGGGTGCCACCGCTGGAGCGCCAGGAACAGATGGGCCGGGTTTCAGGTAGCGCCAGGGTGGGCTCATTTAAGTCGGTGGAGTGCCAGACCAAGGATATCTACGGTAGTTGGTCATACACTCTGAGGGAAGTGGTTTAACACTTACTTATTCGTGGTGGCTGACTTTTCCGTCAAGCACATAGAATACTTTTCCCTATGGTGACACGAGTAGACAATTAACTAACAAATGATTCGGACATGGGGAGCCATTGAAGCTATTTTTTCCAAGCCCTAATGCATGATTATTATACCCGACCAAGGGTTCCTCCTCCACCTCCCTTCTCCCCAGGCCTAGCCCTACGGTCACCACTTGGCTGTCCGTCCGGGGATATTATTATCTTCACCAAATTCTCCCTGACATCCCAGCGGTTCTGCAGCCCGTGTGGTTGGCCAGTCGATCGGCGGATTAGCGCCGGTTGAGGTGACGGACGTGCATCCACCCAGCGAACCGACGGCCAGGACTGGCTCCTCCACTGTGACAAGCTTGCCCTATCACCCAGTCACCGGCATCTCCCCCAGGGTAACTTCCAATCAGCGGGCCTGCCAATGCTGCACCGTGTTTCCCTCGCGGGCGCTTACCCTAGCACGAGTGACGGGCATCGCAGCGGTTGCACATTCCCCCGCCTACAAAATGTCTACTATTCAAGGGCCGGCCACGCCGATTCCTTTCGAGTCTCGTCTCCTCATACCTCTCGTTCTACCCTCTGCTCTGCTCTCTCTGGCATCATTCCTCGTGGACGCAGGCTTCGTACACGGGAACGTTCGAGGTTACCTGCCTGAAGAACGCTGATCTAGTTCAGCTATTGTCCCTTTTTCCCATTCTTTTCCCAGCTGTCGAGAGCCGGTTCTCTTGACCTAATTTTTCTATTTCATACTTCTTGCTTCGATGTCAGATTCCAGTCGGAACAGCTCTCCCCAGACGTATAAACCCGTCGTCCCTATCGATCTCAACCTTGGTTCTTATCACGGCGCAATGGGTCAGCCTCCGCAACCCACTGTAGAAGAAGCTCGCAGCTCTTCAGAGTCCCTGAAGAGCCCGCGGACGGCTCGCTTTGCCGAAGCCACCGCCGTTCATTCTCCTGTGGACGAGAACTCCAGACGCTCTCCCTTCACCGACCCTCAACCCCAAGGCAATGTGGGAGACGTCGGGTTCGGCTACGTGGCTACCAATGACCCTGCCCAGCATGCGAACGATTCGCGGCCCCCGGCGTCGCCGCTGAAGAGTGCGCTGAGAGTACCCGGAACAGCCCGCACTCTGGACATAAGGAGCCCAACCTTCCGTGAGGAGTACATGCTGGAGAAGCAGGAGAAGGTCACGGAGAAGGCGAATGAGAAGGATCTGGTAAGAACACTCCTTCCAAGACAAACAATCTTTCCCCTTTTCTGACCAGTTTCTGCAGAAAATCAAACTCCGAGTACGGATCGCCAAGATCTTCCTGCGCTTCGTCAACTTCGGCTGCAGTCTTATCGTGCTGTCCCTGCTGGCAGTCACCCTGTCCATCTTCAACGCAACCAAGACAATAGAAGCGAGAAACAGTCTCCCCGCCTGGGCGGAGGGCACGAACCCGTGGGCACAGTACATGCTCCTGGGCATGGCATGTTTATCGCTGGTTACATGTCTGATTGTTTTTTGGGGTACTACTACAAGGGCGGACACCGACGCGCCCAGAAGACAGCCGTCTACTACACGACCTTCACCGTCTGCTTCTTCGTTTTCAGTCTGATCATGTGGATTGTCGGCGCAGCGGTCTACGCTCACTCCAAAACGACAACCAACGGCCAGGATATGTGGTCGTGGTCCTGTGCGCACAACAACCGCGAACAGGACTTCTCCAACGTCGTCGACTACGCTTTGCTCTGCCGTCTGCAGGACTGGGGTCTCTTGTGCGCCATCATTGAAATTGTCATCGAAGTTCTGGTAATCCTGATCTACGCCGTCGTCGCCTACCGCGTGTGGAGCAAGCGCAAGCTCATGAAGACCATGGACCAGCGCGACAGAGCCCGCTCGGATCTGTATCTCGCCCAGCTGCGTCTGCAGTCCGCCCCAAATACACCGGGCTTCCCGGGCTTCTCGCCGTACCCGCCCAAGTCCCCATTTATCTACTCCGCGCAACTGGACCCGTACTCCGTCGCCGAGAAGGGTGAGTACCACAACCCGGCGACCCAGTACGCCTCGCCGCGCTCGCCGACTCGCCCAGCGCCGACCTTCCAGCTGCAGGCCCCGCCAATCAAGGTCCAAGGAGCGTCGCCCCAGATGGGACAGGGAGAGTTCGCGCCTTCGAACCAGTCTCGAACGCCGTCTCCGCCATCCTCCCAGCACTCTTCCCAGCACTCTGGTCCTGTCTCGCAACCTTCTGTTTCTCATCACTCTGCTGCTGCTGGCCCCAATGAGCCAAGCTACGGCTCCGTGCCTATCCCAGGCGCTTATAGCTAGTCCTACGTGGCCGGCACATCAGTCATGACATATTATGCACTTTCCTTTCTCTTCAATTGCACAGAAAAGGAAAAGCAGAGGAACGAAAACAAAAGAAACCTTGAAAAAAAAAGAACGGAAATCAGAAAAAGGAAAGGAGAAAGAAGGGCGCTGGTTTTCCTACAAACCACCCTCGAGACAACTTACATATCCTCTACTTGCTCGCCTTTTTCCCCTTCTCTCGCTCCCTTTAATTTATTGTCTGTTGGGTGTGCAGGGAGTTTGGGTGGTTATATCATGGATAGTTTACAGATACCTATTTCTTATTTGGGACCTATTATTTGTGTGGTTCGAAGCACATTGTTATTTATATAAGTTACCTCATCGATACTTCAATGCCGTCGCGGTCCATCTCATGTTGAGCTGATCCCAGAAAGGATTTAATTCTGGTAGAAGGGTAGTATGGTAGAAGGATAGTAGTGCCAGAAATATTGTCTGAAGCGAATTCTTGCATTTAACCAGAAGACAGGGTACATTAGAAGAGAAACGAGAGCGCCGCTTTGCAGACGCACAAGAACAACAAGAACCACCAACTCCGCGAGGAATGAGCCCATCATTCCTCCCCGACCCCATCATTCATATCTAATATGCGTTGAGTGTGTAAGGAAGAATTGCCCAGCGGGATCGACCTGAACTGAACTGTACAGAATGCAACAAGACTTTACATTCCACCCTCTTCCAAGACAGCGTGGATGTCCTTCGAAACAAAGATTTCTTCAAGACTGCCAACATCCATGCCGACCTTGGAGAGCTCATTTTGCAAGACCAGTCCCTGTTCGTTGGCGAGGTGGAGAAGACAGATGAACCCGAACGAGGTACTGATGTCCCGCAGGGTTTCGGCGGGATAGACCTTCTTGAGCGAGTTCATGATATGGGTGAAGCGTAATCGGCTGTCGTCCTTGACATCGACGGGCTTTTCTGGGCTCACGGATTGAGGAGTTGGCGGAACTTCTGTCTCGGGGCTTTCGACGTCAGGGGGCGCTTCGTTGGGCACGGATCCCGGTTGTGAAGCAGAGCTGAAGTCTGTTGCTGCGATCAACCGCTCGCCCATACCCCTCCACATCTCGGTCTTTAGTCGTCGCACGTCTACCTTCTTGGCCACCCGCGCGTAGTTCACGTAGTCTGGTCGTGCGCGTCGACCGCCCTGGGTCACGAGTTGGGAGCCGTATCCACCAACACCGGCTCCAGGCCGGCCGGGGGTGGCACCCACCATGTTCAGCAGCGCGGTCAGGCCAGAAGTGTTGCTGCTCTCGCCAGCTGAAGTGGTTGGACGCCCATCGGTCGGCGGAGAAAGCATCTCACGGGCATCTGCAAACGGCATGTTATCATCGTCATCGTCGAGATCCATGCCGTTCGGGAACGCGAGGCCATCATCGTCAGCAAAGAAGTTGGCATCGTAGGCACCCGGGGCGCCATCATCGCCAGCGGCATCGTTTTCTTGTTTGTGGTTTGCCCAGAATGCCTCGTCCATCTCGCCGTTGCCAGATGTCTGGTCCTGTCGCCGGTTGGCGGTCCGCTTGCCGATGAGTTTCCTCGAGCCCATCCGCGCCTTGGGCTTCAGGAAGAGGCGAAGCAGCTGGCGGGAGTTGAAATGCTTGTCATCGGGAAGGAGATTACGGCCTTTGGTCTTCCATTGGGTTTTCGGTAATGAGACGGCCGCGTTGGAGCTGGCGGGGGTATAGATCAACTCGGCGAGAGCGGGATCCAGAGGCGCCTCGAAGTTGATCTCGAAAGGCTCCTTCTCCTTCTTTGCCTTGGGGGCCGCACTCTTGTCTGTCGCCGCCGCGTGTTCCTTGATTCGTCGAATCTTCCAGTGCTCTGGGCCGGCCCAGTTCTTTTGGAGTGCATTATCGAAATAACTCAGGATGTTCTCGTGCTCCCGGCTATCAGGTTGATGAGACAGGGAAATGGCGTATGCATCTTCATTCTCAAGTTCGCCATCCTCGTCATCGTTTTCGCCATCATGATCAAGACGGTGAACTTTGAGCATAGGTTCGAGGGCGGCTTCACGAGCCCAGGCCTCACCGCCGTCACCGAAGCCGGTGTCACCACTGAGGTCAAAGCCACCCAAAGTGGCATCGTCATCGTCAAAACCGACGGCGTTGTCATCATCAAGCATAATACCGGACGGGTCTTCGCCGCCATGTTCCTCTTCGCCGTTCTTATCCTGCCTCCACTCCTCAGGCGCCTTGAGGAGAGGAATATCCAACGATCCACTGGGATCTCCGAGGTCGAAGTTCTTGAGTGACGGGCAGATATCTTGTTCTCCCAGACGATCCAGATCTGGGAAGAACTGGCTCGCCAAGGAGCCGAGGTCGATTTCGCTATCATCGTCAAAGGTATCGCTCGTGGGCCGAGGAGCTGGTGTCTCGGACTCTGCAGAGTCCTGTTGTTCACCGTCGGCCGTCTTGGCATTGTCGTCCACGGCATCATCACTGCTGTCAAAAACGATCTTTCCTTGCCCATCGATCGCCAGGTGGTTCAAAAGCAAACCCTTGGCACCTCCTTCGTCAAAATCCGCAGACGCCTTCTTGAAGAGCGGATCCACTGCGAACTCCAGCTCAAACTTCTTCAGTTGCAATGCTGCAAATGATGGGGCAAGAGTGGCTTCATGTGAGCGTGTCTAAGAAAGTGTTGGGTTAGTAAAGGGGTAAAAGCAAGTATGACACATATACTATACCTTCTTGCGCGACTTGCGAGGCGCTCCATCCTCGCCTTCTTCATCATCTTCACCATCTTCTCCCTCGCCATCGGCTTCACGCCCTCTCTTATCGCGACTATCAGCCAAACCACTGAGAAGCTTTCCGGTCTCGGTTGCCACACTGTCGACTCGGCTGGTGTAGATCTTGACACATCCATCAAGCGTGCAACTGGCCTTCTGAAAGTTCACACCGTCGCCCTCCTTTAGCAGCGACATGTCATGAAAGTAATCGATGAGGGCGAAGTTCCAGGAGTTGTTCGCGTTGATCTTGTTGTCGGTCGCCATCTTCATCCACTCCTCGAAATTGGCCAGTATAGGCACGCGCTTTGCCGGCGTTGTGGCCCTACCGCCCGCATCGCTATCGCGCTTACGATGTCCAGAGCCTCGCGGGGTGGTGGAGGGGCTGTCGCTTCCTTCGCGGTTGTAGGTGGTGTATCGGCGGGCCGGCATGGGCGTTTTGACTGAGGCTTTGATCTGGTTCATTTGACGGTCGTGGAGTGCCTGTCGGGCCTCCTTGCGAGCGGCTTTCTCTCCCATATCATCGTTGAGCGGGATCCTAGATCAGGGTCAGTTGGGGCTGTTGGATGATGGGCGTCTCACGTACTTGACAGGTGTGTTGCGATGGGCGTCCTCCCTACCACCGGAGCGGCGGTGGACTTTATTGGCGACACGGGGCATGGTTGCGGTTGCCCCCAGTAGGGGATGAGATGGAGGGTAGTTGGAGTTGTGGCAGGTGCAAGTTCAACGATGACCGTCTTGTCGTGGCAGGCGTAGTCAGGCCGAGGGGCGTGCCAAAACAAAAGACGTCAACAAAACATACGGCGACCCGGAGCAACCTGGAGCGCAATCACGTGACCCGTGTTTCGGCTAGATGGGCAGTCGTGGCTATGCTAGGCAACACACACCGCCACACTACCCTATCTACGTTCTGGACTCGGCTGGGATAAAGACCGGTTTTGGGATCTGCGTCCATGTCGTGTCTCCTGCTACATAACATCGCGCGCGCACTGACCCACCCTCCCGCAAGCCACACCTCCGTCTAGGCTGACATCACCGTGTTCACCGCATCCAAGATTGTCATGGATACGTTCATGGATATTGTCTGAGGCCTTCTGCTCTCACAGACCGATCCGCGATATATACCATTAGTATTTTAGCCTCGTGCTCCAACATTGTGACCGTGGTCTACCTGGCAATCCGTTCCCCGCGTCCAGGATGCCGCTGTCTCGATGGCCATGAAGCAACTACCATCTTTCCTGCGGCCTGCCGCCCGCCGGGGACCTCGATACTCCGTACGGCCGTTCTGTGTGACTCTGCTCGTCTTCACGGTCCTCGCGACCGTCAGCTGGGTTTTGAGTGAACGTGGACATCCCTCGGTACAGATACCTTACTCCGCACAGCGGGGGACACCAGCGGCCGGATCCCTGTTCAAGCGGGAAGAGGAATCAGAGGTACCACAACCCCCTTTGTCTCTTACCAGATTACGAGTGTCGCGAAGGAACATCCCGGCTGACTTTTGTGTTACTTCCCTGTAGTGTCGCCTGGTTCGAACCGCAAAAGACCAGTGTGCCTTTGTCCGTTCCAACTGCCCGGATCATGAGGACGGCTTGTTTTCCTATCTCCAGCTATACTACTGTTCCTTGGCCGATGCGAAACCGCTGGCGTTTATAATACTGATTTTCTGGCTGTCTGTTCTGTTCACTACCATTGGAATTGCGGCCAGCGACTTTCTATGTATCGATTTGAGCACGCTGGCCAGCATTCTGGGCATGAGCGAGAGTTTGACCGGGGTTACGTTTCTGGCCTTTGGAAATGGCAGTCCCGACGTCTTCTCTACGTTCGCCGCCATGCGGTCGAACAGCGGGAGTCTGGCAATTGGTGAATTGATTGGCGCCGCCAGCTTTATCACGTCTGTCGTGGCTGGCTCCATGGCTTTGATTCGTCCCTTCAAAGTGGCACGAAGGAGTTTCGTTCGAGATGTCGGATTTTTTGTCATCGCTGTCAGTTTCACCATGATACTACTCGCCGATGGAAAGCTTCATGTTTGGGAATCAGCGGCCATGGTAGGTCTGTACGCTTTCTACGTCGTGATGGTCGTGACCTGGCACTGGTACCTGGTTCGGAAACGACGGAAATATGAAAGGGACGTTGCCGCGCGAACGCATTTTCACATCCCGGCAAATCAAGAGCTAGAAATTGAGGAGGCCATAGAGGACGATGAACCCGGCATGGCCCCAGAATCACGGAGTCTCCTTCACGGAGCATCAACCGAGGACTTCGACCTTCTGGAACGTGCAGAAGGCACCCCCATTTGGAAGGAGGAAGATGACGAAGATGACGAAACTCGCAACCGGTTCTTAGCAGAGATCCGCGACAATATGCATGTCTACCGACCTTCCGGGCCGTCGCGACGGAACACCCTGAACCCCATCCGGCCGAGTTTGGTCGGTGCATTGGAGTTTCAGTCAGTACTTCACTCGCTCAAAAAGTCGAAGAATATCTATCACAATCCGGCTGTCAGTATTAGCAGCTATTCGGATGACGACGAAACATCATCTCAACCGTTTGATACCCGGTCTGTTGCATCGCATCCTCGCACCTGCAGACCGTCCGCCCCGGACCGTTTGTCGCCTCTCAGTGCTGCCGGTTCTTCTCGAGTTCGGGCCGTATCCGCGAACGATGCGGATGGACTTAGACTGGACACCAGTTTGCTAGATCGTCGACCGGAACAGACGCCTCGTCTTACTGTGAGGAGGCCATCCAACGAACATACTGAGGACCAAGAAGCCGTGCGACCACCGCAGCCTCCTCGGATTGATACGAGTGTGATGTTGACAACTTCTCCGTCGTCCCTTGAACCATCGTCGAGCCTTAGCCCCGCGGCTGCTCAACCGCCCGACTTGCTCGCTCCTCCAAATTCTTTGAATAGTTTCCATTCGCCCAATTATCAAACCTCAACGGCCCATAGCCACTCTCCGCTGCCAGTATCTCCCCGAGGCAGTGGCAACCATGAGACGGTCTTGGATGACCCGTCGGCGCCATTTCCTGCTTACACTGATATGCCCCCTTCTCCTTCCTCACGCCCACCCAGCATCCGCCTACCTAACCCAGCGGCGAGCCCAGCCGAGCGGTTACAGTTTCACGACAGCCTTGATGACTCTGTTCATGAGAATGGTTCTGTCCGCAAATCGTTGAGCAAGCTCTGGCCCAACTCTGTCCTCCCGTCTCCCCGGCAGCTTGGCTGCACACTTTTCCCCACTCTGGCTGGCTGGAAGTCCAAGAACATATGGGAGTGGATGCTGGGCTTGGTTGCAGCACCAAGCGTGCTTCTCCTCACCCTCACCATCCCGGTAGTTGAACCTCAGGGTGAATCTGCCGAGACGGATCCAATTCCATCTGTTGTCATTGAGCAGTTCTCCGATGGAAATAACCAAGCTCCAAAAGTGAGACTGCCTGCCGACAGTCCTATCCTCCACTCTTTGGACCATGGCCCTGCCTCCGAGCTACCACCTTCACACCCGCATCACAAGTCTTCGGAGCAGGAGTCCCGTTCCCGTCCACGCTGGGACTCGGAACTTCCAGCTGCGCCGCCGACGTGTGAGCCTTCGGAAGTGGTGCCAGCCAAGGATTGGAATCGCTGGCTGGTCGCTATCCAGCTTTTCACGGGCCCCTTCTTCGTCGTACTAATCGGCTGGACCACCGCCGACGAGACACGCAGCCTTCGCAATCTTCTCCTACCTTCACTCATCTCCCTCCTTTTCTCCTTCGTGTGTCTCACAGTGCTCATCATCGGCACCCGCCGGCCCTGGCATCACCGCCACGGCATCAGCGAGCCTCAGGTTCTTCCACGTCGTAAACTGCCGGCGGCATGGCGCCCCTTCCTCTCGCTCCTCGGCTTCCTGGTCGCCATATCCTGGATCGCCACAATTGCTACGGAGGTTGTTGCTCTCCTCAAGACCCTAGGTGTCATCCTCAACATTTCCGATTCACTTTTAGGCCTGACTATATTTGCCGTCGGTAATTCTCTCGGTGACCTCGTCGCTGATATCACCGTCGCTCGGCTTGGATACCCCGTCATGGCCTTGAGCGCCTGTTTTGGAGGCCCAATGCTGAACATCCTGCTCGGCATCGGCCTGGGTGGTCTCTACATGACCATGAATGGAGGAAAGAAGCAACAAACACCTGGCGCGATGGGGCATGTTTCTCCTGCCAAGGCGACGTACGAGATTGCCATATCCAAAGTCTTGGTTATCAGCGGTGCGACTCTCCTGGTCGTCTTGGTGGGACTTCTCATCGTCGTACCTATGAACAACTGGCGCATGGACCGCAAGATCGGGTGGGGATTGATGGCAGTTTGGTGTGTGAGCACCTTGGGCAATGTGATTGCCGAGGTCGTCACATAGTATATTCCATTTGCATTGGGCTGTTTTGGATTTTGCATCTGCATTTATTTTGCATTCGGGACAATGCACATGCCCATGTCCATTTTTTTACATACTCCCTCAAGTGTATCTATGAAGCATGAAGCAAGTTTAGAGGTGATGCTGCTTTTTGCAAGAGCTTTAAGCTTTACTCGTCGTATTTGATCTCCACATATACAAAGCGGATGTCATCAGAAATATATAAATGGAGAAGGCAGTCTTTGTTTCAGACTCGATAGCCAGTTTGGCGGATATATACCTCAGTACTATTTTCATGAGTAAATCGATTTTCCATTTGATCTCCCTCTCTGCATATGTTATAGATCACTAGACCTACAGTAGTGGAGTCCCCCAGAAATTATCCCCATAGTCCTGTCAAGGGTCTACTTATCCCTCTGTCAGTTCCAACGACGCTAGACCCCCGTGGCAAACGAAGATAGCTTGGTATTGTCTGCTGTGGGTTAGACCGCTCTTGGCCTTTCAGAAACACGGCGCTGGGCTTACGACCCGATTGGTCAGATCCAGACATTTTGTCCTCGAGCAAAGGCCTCAGCCTCGTTTATCCGTAAAGGGTTCCGGATTGCGTACTCAAATCCCCAAATCGTGGTTACTGAGTCAAAGCCAAGAACTACTTGCTAACTACTGGCTTCGGTTATAGCGTACAATACTATTCTAGCTAGTCAACACTATGAAATATCTATATATAGTTTGAAGCTCTCGTTCTCTGTCTTACATAGTTCTGTCTTGAACCCCCATCCCCCTCCCCCTCCTTTTTTACTCTTTACTTTAATATTAATCCCTTTATTTCACTGCTCAGAAGACCGCAAACCGAATGAATTATATGCATTATTCAAACAGCAACAAAACATGTCTCGCACCACCCGGCCGCGAATCCCACATTTCTCCGCAATCATCCAAATCGCGCTCCGTCTAGCGAGCCTAGGCATCGCCATCGCCGCCCTCGTAATCCTAATCGAATTAGCCATCAAATACCCTGATGCGAACAATCACCAAGGCAAAACATTTGGAGGGGCTATTTCTACGGTTCGATCTATCTATCTACCTTCCAAGGCTCTTACTACAGGGGCCACCAGTATCTATATGGAAAATGCCATTTGTGCTGATAGAGCAAAATAATAGGCCGTGCTCGCAATCCTCATGAATCTCGTCGAACTCATCCCCCTCTCAGATCCAACCCACAAGATCGAGCGACCGCACACTTGCCTCGTTGGCTTTGGGGACGTGGTCGTCCTCGGTGTTGGGATTTATGCGATATTCGAGATCATTTTCAGTGACTATAGTCTTGGAGATGCGCCGGTGGGGTATCCGAGGCCATGGCGGAGTAAACAGGATCTCGCGTTTGATCTGGTGATTGGTCTGGTGTAAGTAACTATCTCAACGTGGAGAAACCGAGGACTCTGGGGAAAAGTAGATTTTGCTAATAAATGGCCTGGCTAGGGTTGCGACTTTCTGGGTTTTGATACTTGACTGCGTGGGGGGATGTCGACAATCAAGAAAGTCGAAAAGGGAGAAGGCTGAGGCCAAGATGTCGTCTCTTCCTACAGCTTCCGAGGAAGTGAAATAGAGAATGCAAAATGCTTGACCGGCTCTATGCAGAATTTCCGGTGTTCACTGACTACAGCTACCTTTGATGTAGACGTTTTACTATCAGACAGAGCGAGCCAAAACAACGCGACGAGACTTAAGAGAAACAACTGACTCAACAGAAAAAGGGAATGGAGCAAACCAAGGGGGATGCTTTCCTTGGAAATAAAATCCAGTACAATGTATATACTCATCCCCTGTCACGCCCTCATCGTCATCCTCATCTTTACAGAACGCGTCCAGCGGAGCTGCTCTGACTCCGATCGTTTGTCTGGACCTTTTTGAGGCCCTTGCCCGCCTGGATAGACGCAAGGAGCGCAGAGCGATTGTCGCCACCGCCGCCGCCCATGGCTGGTGGCGCAGGTGGTGGGGGTGCAGCGCCCGGAGGAGGCGGCGGCGGTGCAGTCGGGGCTCCGCCAGCTGGAGGCGGAGGCGGAGGGGGAGGAGCAGCGGCACCAGGGGGAGGGGGTGGCGGCGGAGGAGGCGCACCGGTTGGTGGGGGAGAAGAGAAGCCGTTAGTCTCTGGCTCCGCGGGAGCCGAAGGCACAGGTGGCGGAGGAGCAACAGGGCTGGCCTGCACCGGAGTGGCGGACTTAGACGGCGACTTGTCCTCGTCCATGGCGCTCAGAGGGCGCGGCGGTGCCATCGTGCCGAACAGAATGCTGGCCAGCTGCTTGGCGCTACCGCCGCCAGGGCGGTCCTCATCGTCGTCGGAGGAATCGTCGAACTCCGAGCCGGCTTGAGACCAGTCGTCGTCGTCTTCGGGACGCGTGCGGGACTTGCGCTCCAATGGTCCAGCGCCCGTGAAGGTTGGCTTAACGGCCTCCTGCTGTTGGAGCCGGTGGAATGGGTTCGTGGACGCGGGAGGTGACGTCGCTGGTGTGGCCTCGGCCGGCTGACCCGCCATCCTGCTGAAGTAAGGGTTCTTGGACTCGGTGTCTGGGGAGACGGCAGAGACAGCTGGGGCTTCGGGTTCCGGTTCGGGGATCGACACAGTAGGCACCGGCGGCGGAGCCGGAGGCAGGACCTGGCTCTGCGTGGGAGTGCTGTCCTGTGGGGTAACATAGCCAGTTCCCTCTTCGTCTGACGAGCTCTCTTCTTCGTCCAATCCCTCCAGTTGACGCTGCAGCTCGCGCTCGCGTTCCTTGGCCATCTCAAGCTCAGCACGCTGGGCCGCAAGTCTGTCTTCTTGCTCTTTGGCCTGACGAGCCGCTTCTTCCCTGCGGCGCTTCTCCTCTTGCTTCTTGACCTTGCCCTGCTTGACCTGTTCCTCCAGAGCACGCAGTCGAGCTGCTTGAGCCTCCTTCTCCTTATTGAACTCAGCTTCGCGCTGCTTTGCCTCATCCCTGTAATCGAGTTAGCAAACAGTCTCTCCTCTCCTTCACAAATCCAAGGGGTACTCACTCAAGCTGCTTGGTCTCCGCCTCTTGCACCTCTTGCTCATCCCTGATGGCCTGCTCACGGGCCACATCATCTGCCTTCTTCGCATCAGCCTGACCAGCGCTGTCGGTACGGGCTCTTCGCGTGGGAGGGGCTGGCGGAGGTTTCTTGCCCACTGTCTTCGGAGCAGCAGCACTGGGGCCACCCTTCTCTTCAGCCAGGCGGCGTTGTCTCTCCTGTTCGCGCTTGGCATCATCTTCCTCGGCACGCTTCAGTCGTTCCTCACGCTCCTTCTTCTCACGTTCCTGGCGTTGGAGAAGGGTCTCGTTCGCGTCACTGGGCTTCAGACCAGCAGCAGCCATGCGCTCGGCAATACGCTGCTGTGCGCGCTGCCGGGCAGCTGCCACGCGGTCCTCGTGAGTGTTACCAGGGACAGGGGAGGTAGCAGACGGCGACACAGAAGGGCGCGCAGCCGGGGATTCAGCAGCCGGAGATTCATAACGACGCTGTTCCTGCGCAGGCCTCTCACGCCTGTAAAACGTCAGCTTTAGCCTTGATAGTCATCTAGGACAACTTACTCTTCCTTGCGAATACTGGCTGTCCGACTGTTTCGGCTCAGATCGTAAATAAAGTCGCGAATGGTATCTTCGACGCCCAGAGCATCCTCCCAGCGGCGTTTCTCATGCTCACGGGTTGAGTTTTGCCCTTCCTCACGGAGGCTCTCTTCCAAACTGCGAGCAAAGTCCCGAACGCTTTCTTCAACATCACGCGTCATGGCATCATTGCGCTCGCGCTCAGACGCCACCTTCGAGCTTTCGCTCTCCAGGCGACGAGCGGCCTGGCCGTCATCATCTTCCGCAGCGGGAGCTGGGCGTCCAGAAAGTTCGGCAGCCCGTGCCTGCATGCGCGCACGGGCACGAGCCTTGATCCGATCGGCTTCGGTAACCGCGCCACCGGGACCAGTGCCCACGATGTTAGCGGCACTGCCAGGGTTGGCCTTGGCGTCCTGCAGGCGGAAGAGCTCAAGCTTCGCATCCGCAATCTCCCGTTCAAGGCGACGGACATCAGAGGCAACCTGCGGAACCTGGTCCTCAAAGGACTGCAATTGGCGTCGAAGGGACCGACGCTCAGCCCCGCTATCCACTTGGCGGAACGAGGCATTGGGGTGGGTGTCGATGTCATCCTGCACACGGCGAATCCGGTCCATCAGGCTCTCGGCCTCGCGGCGATCTCGGCGATCCAGAGCCTCATCATCTTCTGCCCGGTTCTCGTCTTGGAAATCCACAGCGTCGAGCATGACTTTGGTCTCACGGATCTTCTTGCGCAATTGGTCCGGAGACAGATCATCCTCTGAAGCCTGTGAGGAAGCGGTAGGCGAGGGAGAGCGAGGGTCGCCACCAACACGACGACGTGCGCTGGACCGATAGCCACTAGCGGAATCATTATTCTTGAACATAGTTGCATCCTTGCGGCCAAATCCGGGCGAACCTCCACCGCGGAACGAATGGTCCTTGAGATAGCTGACACCGGTCTTCTGCGGCTGCAGGAACGCTCCGCTGGCTTTCCGAGATTCAGCATCCTGAGAAAGGAGTGACTTGACAGTGCCGATGGAGTCGTTCAGGTGCCTGGTGGACGGCGGGATAAGCTCTGGAGGTAGGCGACTGGGGACCGGATACCCGTTCAAGGCTCGGTAGATCAGATGCATGGCCACAGCGAACTCATCCATGTTAAGTCGACCCCGGTTGTGAGGATCCGCCAGAGTCCAAATCCGCTCCAGGTCCTTCCGGTTCAGCCCACTCTGGCCCATTATTTCAATAGCAGTCTCGCCGCTAACAAAGCCTTTGCGCAAACCATCCCACGCACGGAAAAGGTCATCATAAATCTTCTTCTCTTCCTTTGTAATGGCCCAGGCAACTGTGGCGTTTCCAGAAAGCCCAGTGGTGCTAAAGCCACCTTCACGACCAGGTTGGGGCATCAGCTGCTGCTTCATGGCCTCAATATTCGGCAATCCCTGTGCCGGAGTGTTGATAAAACCCCACTGACCCGGTATACCGGTGGGTTGTGCAGTTAGTCCTTGCATGCCTCCAGTCTGCGCGGGGCTGAGATTGGAGCCAAAGCCGGTTGGCATGGGCGGCATCGGGGGCCGAGGACCGCTGTATCCTGTAGCCTGCGGATTGGTCATGAAGCCAGTTTGCTGGGGCTGCAGAAACTGGGACTGATTATTCTGGCCAGGAAAACCCGTTTGCTGAGGCTGCTGCATGCCGGTCTGCTGAGGGAAGAACCCGGTGGGCTGCGCCGTCAGTTGCGACAGAAGCTGTGAGTTGTTGGGCTGCTGGGGCTGGGGTTGTTGGACAACTGGTGGCGTAGACTTGTTCTCTATAGGTGGTGCATCGAAGCTGGGGACGTTCGTCCGTGGCGCAGGCCCCGACTGTTCATCGGGAACGTCAAACGAGATGATATCAACCATACTGGACACCTCATTCTTGATTGTTTCCGGCAGGGCGGAAGGGAGCTCGCGACCGGTGAGGCGCAGATTACACAGGTACATCGCCAGGGCGAACTCGGGAAAGAACAGCTGTCCAGATTTTGTAGAATCCGACAATACCCAGATCTTGGACAAGTCGCCACCAGCGAGCTTCGAGCGCATTAGAAGGTCCCTTGCTTTGTCGCCGTCCATTGTCTTGCTATCGCCAACCGCAGACTTGAAAAGCTGCTCGAACTTGGCCTGATCCTGGGCGGTGATAAACGAGAGGCGAATACTGGGGATCCTCGACCCAGTCTTGGGAGGCACCTGAGGTCGCACCTCGGTGGCGCCAGCATCTTGGAAGGAATTGGCGATTTCGGCGGATGTCTTGGGAGCCGGTCGAGAGGGCAGGCCCGTGGGCTGCGAGACCTGAAACTGCGGAGGCTGCTGCTGTTGTTGCTGCTGGGGCTGGGGGGGATATCCAGTATATTGCTGCTGCTGGAAGCCTTGCGGTGGCTGCTGTTGCTGCTGCTGCGACGGTGGTGGCGGCTGGGGGGCGCCAGGGTAACTGGTGAACTGCGGCTGGAGCTGTCCGGCGGGGAATCCGGTGGCCTGGGGCTGTAGTTGCGAGCTGCCGAATGGTGAGGGCTGGCCACCGAAGCCGGTGGGTTGAGGAGCGAAACCAGTTGGCTGGGGCTGCTGCATTGGCGGTTGTTGCTGTTGGCCCTGGGGGAATTGCGAGTACTGTTGCTGCTGCTGCGGCATGAATGGTGCCTGGCCGGGTCGACCACCGGCACCACCGCCGAGGAAGGAATTCGACGAGGAATACATAATTTATGAAAATGACGCTCGCATGAGGCAAAGAAGAACGAAGGGATTGATGAAGAGAAGAGAACGAGTGGAGGAAGTGAGGGAGTGTCAGGAGGAGCATGACGCCGGTAGCAGGGACGCGCTAGCCTGGACTCGGGTGCTTACTCAGCGCGGTTGCCAGTCGAGGTCCCATGAATAGTAACTGTGGTATATTTGCTTCATTCATTGGTATCGAGCTAGATAGATGCATACTAATTGGTCATGACCATCCTGTGCAAAGTCCTCGCCGGGACGGAAAATGCCTAAACACCCAAAACATAACGTAAACACATGAGGAACCAGATCCGGATGTCGAATATCAACAAAAACAGGCCCAAGAACGGCCCAGAGGAAAGAAAAGAACCAAAAGAAGAAGAATCTATGGAGTCTGCCAACTTTTCTCGCTGAAGAAACGACCCTTCTCGCTAGGTTTTCTGCTGTTCGGTCGGTGCGCAAGAAGCAAATGACACGGCGAATCCGACCAAGAAGAGGCCGGCCATTTACTCAGCTGCGTTCTGTTGCTGCAGGTTGGCAGCATTGGCCGCCTTGCGAAGCTCGTACTCCTTGGTGAACTCGCGTGACAGAATACCAAGATCCTTGATCAGTGCGTGGCAAGCATTGATGACGACCTCGCGCGGAGTGACTTCGCCATCCGTCTGGACGCGCAGGAGAAAGTTAGGGGTCAACGGGTGGGGGACCTGAACGGAGTCAGTAAGCCATTCACATCAAGAAAATAGTTCAGGCGTACCTTGTAGGCAGCGAAAATGACGTGGGGGGTCTTGATCAGACGGGAGCGGAGCATGTTGGCGAGGGTGTGGTCCTCCTTGTGGAAGGTGAAGATGGCGGCATTGGGCATTCCTGGCGTCGAGTTAAAACGAACTTTTGCCAATCAAGGAGCAAACACTTACGAGTATCAATCTCGACATCAATCTTGTTCTCACCCGGAGCGAGCAGGATAGCCTCATACCTAGAGCGGATGTCAGTCGACTTCTTACAGGAACCGGGTTATCGAATGAATAAGGCAGAACGATATCAAGTGCGTATAAGGGACTGACACATCGGGACGATCATCATCAAACGGCACCCGCTGGTGGCGGGGAGCCGGACGCTCGGAGATGTGCCGACCGGCCAGCGCCTTTGCGATTGCCTGGGTGGCAGTCACGAGGGGTGTGGCTCTGAGATGATGGTCCGACATGATAGGGAGGATAGGAAGTAGGCAGGGATATTTGACTCGGTGAACGGGAGGAAGACAGTTGGGAAGAGAGAGGTGAAGGAGTGTGGAAGAAGTGGAAGGCAGGCAAGCAGGATATCAGAAGAGGGAAGGAACGAGTCCTACATATCGCCCTCTTTTGGTCTCCCATACCCAGTGTCTAGCCATAGGACAGCTTTCTTAGGCATCTAGACCACATTTTGAAGGGTCAGGAGGACATAAGTAGATTATTCCAATCCACATGCCCCCGAAGCACGAACACTGCATGCATCACACAGCTAGCGTTCCGGCGCTTTCCCCACGGGCAGCAGAAGGCAATAGACAGGGGAGGGACAAGGCAAGAAAACCAATCCATGCTAATTCAAGGTATAGTGCAAGCAAAGAAAGCAGAAACCCTTACCGGTCCGGCGCGTTCATGATGACAGCGAGCGATTGTCACCGCGGGAAGTGCGTGGATGAAGCAGGAGTCTGTTGAGGGCTATCGTCGACAAGAATTTCGACAGGCAAGGATTATATAATCGGTATAGGGTTGATTCCCCGTCTCAGTCGTGAACTGGAGAGCGCAGAGATGGCCTCCGAGGCAATGCTTCGTCGCGGTCAAGGAAAGGAACCACCACAGCGCTTCCAAAAGTGGCTGTGAACCGCGGAGGGGCTGCAATCCGGGCCAGGCTAATATAACCGCAAAATAGATGTATTGTATGAGATAGTCAATGCAACGCCGGGTCCGGGGCGGCAGAGGATCCGGATTCGTGAGCTGGATGAAAAGCAGAGGTGTCGATGCGCGGGAAGCAGATCGTGATAAGCGGTGGTCACATGATTGATAACTAACTCGGGTTCACGTGATATTGTTTGACCTACTTCGGTTGGTCTTAGTGGGAAGCAGTTGAGGAAGATTGGCTGGTTGGGATGAGAAGTGTGTAATTGTCCTAGGAACAAATGTGGAGTTTCATCTATCACTATAGCCATCTCAATCTCAGGCGGTGTTGATCCGGTCAACCAATGATGTCTCCTTCATACCTACTCCGCACTACAGGATATATATACTCCGATCCCCGGACTTACACGCAACCTTCGGTAAACCGACTCCCATCTTTGACCTCATTTCTTTCTTCAAACACTCAGTAGTCCATCTCATATAATATTCATAAACAAACCAAAATGCCACAAAACACCCTCCACCAAACCTACCCATGGATATCACCCTCCAAACCCCCACTAGCCAGCGCGCCAATGCTGAACATCGCGACCGCGAAATTGGCCATCTCCGTCTCAAACGCCGGCGGAATCGGGTTCATCGCCGGCGGATACAACCTGTCAGGTCTATCAACCGAGCTCATCAACGCAAGCAAGCAAACCACATCCCTGCACCCGACAAATCCCCTTCCCGCCTTCTACACCGATACAGGACTCCTACCGCTGGGAGTGGGCTTCCTGAACTGGGGCGCCGACAGAGCGCAAGCAATATCAATCCTGAAGGAACATCCTCCCGCCGCAGTATGGCTATTCGCACCTACGAACATGCCCGACGATCTACTCGAGTGGGTGAATGAGATCCGCGCTATAACTCCCAGAAGCAACACTACATCCAAAACCCAACAACGAATCCAAATCTGGGTCCAAATGGGAACAGTCCACGAAGCCCTCTCCACACAGCAAACACTGCACCCAGACGTCATGGTCGCACAGGGCAGCGACGCAGGCGGACACGGACTCGCTCGCTCGGCCTCGCTCATGACCCTTCTTCCAGAAATATGCAGCACATTACCGGAACTAACACAGACACCAATTCTCGCAGCAGGGGGGATAAGCACGGGTCGCTCGCTCGCCGCAGCACTCGCACTCGGCGCCGTAGGCGCAGTAATGGGGACGCGGTTCCTGGCCTGCGCAGAGGCGAATATCGCCACGGGTTACCAGCGCGAAATACTACGGGCGACGGATGGTGGGACGAGTACGGTGCGGTCTACGGTTTATGATTCCGTACGAGGGATACATGGGTGGCCTGGGCGGTATGATGGGCGGGGGCTTGTGAATCGGAGCTATATTGATGCTGTGGAGGGGGGTATGGATGATGAGGAGAATCGGAGGTTGTACCGATTGGAGATTGCAAAGGGCGATGATGGATGGGGTCCTCGGGGTAGGATGACGACGTATGCTGGGACCGGGGTGGGACTTGTAAATAGAGTGCTCTCTGCGGATGAGATATTGGGCGAGGTTTGGGAGGGTATGAAGGGTGTTATTGAGGGGTTGACGGCGTGGCAGTGAAATGTGGTTAGAGAATATCGTAGTTAGCTATCGAGGGAGTTCTTTACTTGAATGCAGGATGTCGATTTGGTTCATTGGGCCAGTTCACCTGTGCAATTGAGATCAAGGGAGATGGCCTCATGGCCCGAAATGAATTAATTATGTGACCATGTCAAGAAGAAGTGCTAGGCACAGAGAGAAAACCAAAGTAAACGCCATGCCTTGCCCGCGCCGATGCAGGAAATGACAGAAAAGAAAAGAAGAAAAACTGAAACTGAAACAGACAACAGCAAAAGTGTAGAGCATATTTATTCGTGCGTGTCAATGCCAGAAGCCCCCAATGAAAACAAGAAGCCCGAACAATCAACCGGACATATGGAGCCGAGACATATGGACAAAGCTTTCGATAGCATATGCATGCACCATTCATGCCAGCAGGGAGGAGGGAAAGCAAGAGGGGAAAAAAGACATTATCAAGAATGTGTGGGAAAATGCATGCTATACAAACTCTAATGCACGGCACTCAACAGATCTCCAAGGGACGAGGTAGCCCGCTTCATCTTCCAGGAGCTTTTCTTCTTATCGCGCTTCTTCATCATTTCTGCCCAGGCCTCGTCGTCGTCCTCGTCATCCGATCCAGCGAGCACCTTTTTACCACCAGAGGCAGACAGACGATCAGTCGGGACAGGGCGAATGGTGATGGTAGCAAGCGATGTGGATTTGGGGAGTTGCGCACGAGGCTGTTGTGAGGGCACGGTCAGAGTCTTGTTGGGGCTGTTTTCGTCGCTCCAGCCCTTATTCATGTGTCCTGGGTCGCCGCCATGCATGACGGATACCGGTCTGTACCGCGAGGCCATTCCTGCGTTGCTGCGCTCTGACGGGGCAATGGACGAGGCGTAGCCGCCGGTAGCGGTGCTTGGGCGGAAAGTGCTATTGGAAAGAGGTGGCATCGGCGATCCGGTATGACGAGTCGAGATATTGGGGTCCAGCATGCTGAGGGTGCGGTGGTCAAACTGAGACCCGGGAGCGACTGACATCGGTCTCATGTTTGGGTTGGCTCCGCTCATTGAAGGAGGCGGTGGCATCCCTGCCATCATCGAGGGAGGGCCCATCGGTGTTCCTGGCATGGGGCCCGCCCCCCACGCTGGAGGGGTGGGCATGCCGCCCTTCATCATCATCGGCGGCAGAGGCAGTGGCGGGCCCTGGTAGCCCTGCATCTGCATCATCTGCTGCATCCACTGCATTTGCATTTGCATCATCTGTTGCATCTGTTGCGACAACTCAATCTGGGCTTGCTGTTCGCTGGTAGACATGTTCTGTGGTTGTGGCATCATCGAGTATGGCCGAGGAACATCTCCCATATTGTACATGGCTTGTGTATTGGGACTTCCACGTCTCGTGGCGCGGGCACGCTCCTCGTTAGCGATAACGCCCACAAGACCTCCTGGCGGCGGCATCGGAGACTGCGAGCCCCCGTATACCGAGCCTCCACCCATGGCCAGAGACTCGCGGTTGGACGGATTGACCAGGCCAGCACCGAAGTAGGGATCCCGTGGCAGGTTCCGGGCGAAGACAGGCAAGCTGCTGTTTCGTTTACCGATATCATGTTCAGCACCCGTCACCGAGTTAGCGGATGACATATACGATGGCTGTATGGATGCGCGAAGATTTGGATTGGAGCCGGTGCTGGTCAAGCGGGTGGGTGGACGATTGCGGTTGGGGAACCCGTGCGCGGCCAGGATACCCAACGGCACCTCCTCGTCATCATCCTCGCTGCTCTTTCCGCTGGTGGACTTGTCGCCTGGGTTGGACAGACGAGACATGAGGTTGGGAGTGCTGCTGCGGGCCCCGCTCATCTCCGGACGCAGTGTTGGCTCAACGGCCAGCTGACCAGTCACCTTCATCATCTGCTGGCGATAAACAGATAGGTGAGCCTCTTGCTTCCGACGCTGGCGTTCCGCCTCTCGCTGCTTCTCTGCCTCATCGTCTTCGTCAAATTCGTCATTGACCGACTCATCATCGCTCTTGGATGCGTCACTCCTGGACCGCCGGAGTTCCTGCTGTTTACGGTAATGCTCAAACTGAGACGGCGTCATCACCTTGTTGCCCGGGGAGGTCCGTTGGGGCAGACTCTCCGCGAACTGCACAGCCAGTCGGGCTTGATCCTCGATCGATGAGTCAAAGGACTTGGTTGGTGCTGGCGACCGACGATCCGCGAACATAGCATCGCCATCCGGACTCAAGTGCTCAGAGGGGCTTATTCCCTTGCCCTTGTCGATCGGAGCTTCGTCAGTATCTGCAGAAAAAGCGTTGTCTCTAGTCCACAGCAGCGACTGCCGAACTAACTTCGCATCTTCGTCATCAATGTGCTCGTCTGATTCACGTCGTTCAGGATATGCTCCACTCCGCCGCAATCCTTGATCGGACTGTCGAGACAGACGGTCCAGAGATCGATGGGAGGTCGTGGCAAGCATTTGAGCAGGAGACGGCGACGCTCGTCGCAATCCAGACGGAGCATCAGACGCGGGAGCGACTGGTAAAGGCTTCCTGGACAGCAGGCTCTCATTCTGCCCAGCATCCAGGGCATCCTCAGGGTACTGACTGCCCCACGAGTAAGGTGCAGGCTCAACAGCGATTGCTCGATCTGTCTTAATTGGTTGAGGAGACGGCTTCCGCATCACTGTACTAGTCCGTTTGCCCAAACTGTCAAACATATTATGAAAATCATTATCATCTCCGCCGAAGTCGAAGTTCGCGTCTGGCAGCTTCGGCGGCGTAGCAGTGTCATCGGTGCGGCCAGTCATAGCACGGTGCCTGGTCGATGTATCCGGCATTTCCTGCGGTTGCGGTTGTATCGACGATATCGAGCTCTTGCTGAATCGTCCACCAAACGAGAATGTCCGACCGGCGGCCCTCAGAGCACCGGACAACTGCGGTGGAACGGGAATATCATGGAGTCGTGAATGCGGGGAGGAGTAGGCATCATCCGGTGGAGGGATCTCCGTGGAGGAAGGGAGGGTTGACGAGGAGCTGAGCCGAGTCGACGTGGAGCTCTCGTACGTTCGGGCACTGTCAGGGCGACGGGTCAGTCGTTTCCGCAGGGAATCCAGGAGCGGGGAGCGGTCATACCGATGATGTTTGTCCAGGGCCCGATCGGCGAAGATGTTGTCGGAGTCGTCTAGGTTGACGGTGACCAAGTTCCCCTCGCTCATGCGCTTGGTCAGCGGGGCGCCATCGGTCATGGACCTGACGGGACCACCAGGACGCTCGAAGACGCGGAAGGAGGATTGGGGTGCTGATTCCACCTCGTCCAGAATGTTCCCGGACGACTTCCGCCTCGCAGAGAGCTTAGGGAGTTTGATGGGCATTTTTGAGGGGTGGAACTCCTGCAGATTTCCCTTGTCTCACTCCGCGCTTGCAACTGACACGGAGTGTTGTGTAGTAAGTACGCCTCTTGGCTAGGAAGTCAGCGCTCTTCAAGGGACTGATGTAGGAAGGACGCGTTCGGGCTGTCGTGTATATCCCTCGGTTGCTTGACGTGTCAAATGCAGGAGGCAGCAGATCGACCCTTGAAGCGACGAGTCGACCGGAGGATTCAGTCGGGCCGGGTACCAACAACAAGGGAGAAGAACGGAGTTTCCCAGCAGCAGCGTTGATCAGGGGCGGAATGCTGGGCAAAGAAGAGCGTCAGTCCCGTGAAAAAAAGAAGCAGCTTCTGGGCACGGATCCTACAGCTGACCAACACAGTCTGCCCTTAGCGGCTGATCAGGCCCGGCAGGAATCCACCCGTGGGCTGCTTTTGGGGAGAAGGGAGGATGTACAGCCCGACTGGGAGTCACAAAGAAGAAATTGAACCCACCGTGTTATGATGATGATGATGATGATGACGACCGTCGCCGGAGACGGTGAAACCAAGGCTCTCAGACACCGACACACTGGTGTTCGTTTTCACTGCCGGGGATAGGCAAGTGGGGAGTGGGTGGAGCTGATGCGAAGGGGCGATCGGTTGGCGCCCGGGATAAATTCACACCTCTCACAGGACTAAAGTTAGGAGAGGAAGGGAGGGAGGGAGAGTCGGTAGAGGTGACGGTGTCAAAGGTGAAGAAGGCTGAGAGAAAAAGCTAGAAAGAATGAAACAGAAAAACACGCCGAGACCCGCCAGCCACTGACTCTCCTTAGCGCTGTCCTCAGTACTAACTACCTATTCTGGATCTCACGGGATACACGTGGTCAGTGCGATCTCCTGGTGGAAGCGTAGATCCAAGCCAGGGTTTTCGTTGATCATTGCTTTCGATCCAGGTCTAGGTGCAATTGTCTGTCGGTCTACTTCCAAAAGGATCTATCGCCTGGCCGGAAACGGGCTAAAAATAAACAAAGGGCAGCCTGCGCCACCGGGACTTGGCAAAAGGATCTTGAATGTATTACTCCGGTATGCATTATTATTCTTCGCAACCATCAAATCACATATTTGGCAGCCTTTCAGCTCCCGATGATTATTTGTGATACAGGACTCGATGCCGCAGCGACATGGGGGTTTCTCTCAGGTGCACGGCATGCTCACCACAATCAATTCCTCCACCCGTTCGCCAGTCTATCAGACATTACATATCATACAGCCAACCAGACTTCGTCCTTTCCCAAGCGCCGGACTTTTCGGATACTCTCTCTCTCTCTCTCTCTCCCAACGCCCCCGGAGCCTCTACACTACTAAATGGTGAAGGCTTATTTCGCAAAGTGCAGGTCGTAGCCCAGCCACTGGCGCGCCTGGACGCCAGCAACATCCAGACCAGGAGTGCCGTAGGTCAGCGGCGCATAGAAGCAGAATCCCCAGGCGGTGGCGGCGAGGATGGCCAGGCTGACTACCCACGCCGTGACGACGGACTTGGATCCCATGCGCTCCTTGGCCGTGACAAATCGGCGGGGGGACGACCGGAGGCCCTTGGACTTGCCCGTCGGGTCATCCGCGGCGACAGGCGCAGCAGGCGGAGTGCGCGGGTCAACATTGCAGACAAACTCGATCAGTGCACCGGCCACGAGCGTCGACGCCAGATGGGCGGGCAGGTAGTGGTGCAGGAAACGCTGGCGACCCATGAGCCAGAAGGGGAAGTAGTGGGCGGCCCAACACAGGAACAGGAATCCGGTGCTGTTGTACAGACGCGATCGGGCGCCGTAACCCCAGACTGAGTCCGATTGGTTAGCGCGATACCCATGAATCAAAGGGACAGGAAAATGCAACTTACGTTCCTCCACCGCATCGACGCCACGGCGTAGCGAGAGCTGGTCGGCACCTACGATGCCGACGAACACGGCCAGCAGACTGCTGGCAATCCACCATCCCACTGGGTTACCCAGGAAGTAAATCTGCTCACGGGGCTCGTTCTTGGTCCAGAAACTCACACCACGCAGTAGGAACGGCCACTGGTAGGGCTCGGTTGCGTAGGGGTGGCTACTGGTCAGGGCATTGTTGTGGTAGAACATGGCTCCCTGCAGCTCCAGCCACTTGCGCATAAAGGGTAGCGGCTTGACCTGTCGCTCTTCCTTCTTGGCCAGGCGGGGGCTGTCCGGCTCGATGCCCTCGATGCTCTCTACGAACCACAAATTGCTTGTCTGTGCAGCGTTCTTGTTGCCGTTGATCTCGGCCTGCTTGAACCCCCATTCCGGCAGAGGTGTCGAGTGAGTCCACATGGCCACGCGAGTCGGCTGGTGAATCAATTTGAAAAGGCTGGCGAGTGTGCGGAACTCTGCGCCTGGCTTGCCGTTCTCGATCTTGATCTCGAATAGGGTATCGTTGCGCCGCTCTCCGTTCGCCTCCTCTGGCGGGACGGTAGTGAACTCCTGGTTCGTCGGGTAGTAAGGGGAGGCGACATCGTGAGTAAGGAGAAATGTCTCCGTGCCAACATGAAACAGTTGAACGACATCTCCGTTGTACACGCTGTTCGCACCTTCCGCCAGGGGCTTCGTCGGAAGGATCTGCCAGTGGTTGTTGGTATCATTGTGCGGATATCCAGTGACCTGTTGGCCCTGGCTGGAGATGCGTCCGTCGTCGTAGCGCAGAGGATACCGTTCCAGGTGGCTGTGAAGGAAGACGCCGGTTTCCTTGTGGCGCATCGAGATGGTATCGTAATACTCGATACCGACGGAATTCGCGGTCATCACATTGTCGCTGAGGGTCTGCTGGAACTCGGGACTCATAAAATCATCTCCAGGACCAGATCTGGTGAGGACGGCAAAGTGAACCTGGAACCAGAAAAGGTAGAAGAAGAATGGGATGAGAATGAGGCCAACCAGCCGAGCCACGAAGTGCTTGCCAAAGTCGATCATGCTGAGCGACCCCTGCCGGCGGTTGACATCCAGGAGACCCCACAGGTCACAGAGGACCGCCGAGCCGATGGTCACGAAAGTGAACATGCCGACGTATTTGGTGGAGATGACGCAGCTCATGCAGAACCCGGTTAGGAGAAGCCACTTCCACCATTTGCGGCCGAAGGGCTCGTGGCGCAGCTTGTAGAAACGGACATAGCACAACACACTGAGGGCCATCGACAGCACCAGCGGGGCATCCAGCAGAATCAGCCGGTCCTCGGCCACATGGGCATTGTCGAACACCATGAGACCGGCAGACAGGACACAGGCGGGAAGCGAATAGCCCGACTCCCACATAATCAGGAACACCGTCGGGATCGTCAATGCCCCGAGGGTGGCGGGCATCGCACGGTAAGCCAGGTAGGGGACCTTGTGCTCAATGTACGAGTCACCGATGTTGTCAAAATGGAAACTGCCATCATAGCCGACCAGCCAACCGGTAAACGCGAACAACAGCTTAGCAAAGGGCGGGTGGACATCGAAGAAATACGTGCGTTGCAGGTAGTACGAGGCGAACTGACAGAAGGTTAGCTCCCTTTCCCACAGCAATTGCTTCGCCCAGAAGCAGCGGATGCCATACCTTGCCGAAGTGGACCTCGTCAAAGACCACCTCATTTGGGTAATCCAGTCTGTAAAACCGAGTTGCAAAAGCCAGCAGGGTGACGACGACTAGGGCGACCCAGTAGTCCCATTCGGAGGGTGTTTTGCTCGCGGCCGGCACCAAGACAGGGGAGGCTTTGCCCGAGGGCGCCGCAGAGGTCTCCCGCTTTCCACCTCTCTTGCGCAGAGAGGGTGCAGGGGACGACATGGTGAAAGAGGGAAAAATGGAATTCCAGAGCGCGTCCGAGATACCACCTAAACAAATAGACTTGCACGCCGTTAGCGGCAACAAACAAGCTGCGGGAGGATAGGGGTGGGGTGTGGAGGGCAATCAATCACCAAAAGAGGCAGCCGGCACAACTTACTAGAATCACCAAAAGAGCATGGCCCTACAAGAATTGAAGCCAGGGAAAAGAAGGGGATGGGATGACGACGGGGGGCCGAGGGTTGCGTGTCTTCTTGGCCGGCTGACATAATAGTCATTCAGCCCTAGTTAACTAACAACATTGATGTAGAATAATAATCTCACTACTAGACCCTCTCTAAACCCCCTTCAAGGGCGAATATTGATGGATATGATGGGAATTTCTAGTGATGAATGAATCGTGGTTAGGAAGAAAAAGTAAACACCTAATTTGAAGTAAGAAGCAATGCGCTATTACTGTCACACATTTACAACGGCATATCAACATAGAACTTTGTAGATAGATAATATGAAATTGCCTGAATAAATTGGTCGCTACCATATGCATGAAACAAGCAAAACACCAAGCATCCAAGTAATGCATCACAGAATGCCAGACATGCAAACAAACTCTGTATATCCAGGGTATCAAAAGCAATCAATCAATCATCATCATCCGATATGCTCAACATCTCCAATTCTGTCTGCACAATCTCCTGGAACTCTGCCCGGGACACACCCGTGGCCTTAGCCAGGCGGAACAAGCTCTTGACGCTGGTGCTGATATGCTGTTTGACGCCCACCTCACTGGTGGACTGGTTCTGTGCTTCTTGCTCCAATCTGGCAACGGCACCAGAGCTTTTGGACGAGCTCGACGCTGGTCGTGGGTGGCTCAGTGCCAGAGCTGCTGCATCGCTCGGCATGTTACCCGAGGCGTAGCCATTAGTGCGTGGCATATCCGTCGAGTTCGCCCCGTCCACCTTCCGCCGCAAGAGATTGGAGAGTATGTCCCCATTCAAAGAGGTCGGTCCGACCTCTGGCTGCTCCTCAGTTGGATCATGGTTGTCCATAGCCGGTTGGACGTCTCCATACTGCGAAAAGTACGATGACTCCGACAGACCGGACGGCCGTTGCGTTGATGATCCTCCCGCCGCCGAGGAGTGTGGACCAGGCGTTCGCCCCGGAGTCGCATCATACTGGGCCCAATAATCGTCGTCGTCGTCGTCCTCCTCGACCTTCTTTCCCTCCTGCTGCGGTTGGGGTCCGTCACGCTCAGCGGCGCTAATCGCATCTTCCATGAGCTGCTCTCTAGCCTGGACATTTGCCTCCCCGATTGACGAGGCCCATGTTCTCTCGTCTGCGGCGGGCCCTTCGCGCGGAAGCAGTTCCGCAACCCGCCAGCCAGGGCCGCCCCCTTGCTCGTCGGTTGAACACCAGAGATAGATAACCGCTAGGCTGTATTCCGGGAGCACGAGCAAAGCCCGGAGCGTCTCGTCGTCGACGCGCTTATAGCTCACGGGGATATCATCGGAGAGCTCGATCTCACCCGAGACCGGGTGGGGTTCGAAGACGGTGCCGTCGACGATGCGCTGAAGGCGCTCGGCCTTGTCTGCATCCCAACATAGGAGCTGGAGCCAGGATTCTGTGGAGGAGGTCGCGACCGAGGTGAGGATCTGGACGCGTTGACGCAGGATCGGAGACAGCAGTGGGAGCAGTGCCGGTGGGGGGAGTGGCGAGACAAAGGCCGTGGGAAGACAGGCGAGCAAGGGAGGGAGCAAGGCCCGGGAATCAGGGGGACTGATGAGCTCAACCATAGTAGGCGTGCAGATCGTTAACTATGGGGCCAGAGGAAGGGGTGTGGCAAGTAGAGAATGGAGCAGGACGGAGTGAGAAGCCATTATTATTTCAGGCGGGACCGATCCCTTCGCCCGAACAAAGGCGTGGGGCAAGGAGGGAAAAGAGCTTGGGCGGTGGTTCCATGGGTATTAAGTAAACAATGGTTAGGGCTAGGCCTGTTTCAGGCGAGGAGTATGAGAAGATCATAACAATGATAAACAGTTGGAGTCAAAGAATGATTCTCAAAACCTGAGTTCGAGAGAAATGATCACGGAATCAGGGAAAGATGGTTCTGTCGGTATCGGTCGGATTCCATCTCCGGGATGGTCTCGTTGACAATGTGCAACCTCCCCTAGACAGACTCATTTCCAACCAAACACCGCCGGCATGGCTGACCTCGACAAGGACACATCCATTACTATTGCGCCTGCAGTGATGATGGGCAAAGAAGCAGAGGTCCCAGCCAACTCGGATGCAATTCCCCTCGAGATCGGGGCGGAGTGGGCTGCCCTGGAGAAGCAGGTCCGGTGGAAGGTCGACATTCGTCTCTGCACCATTGCAGGACTCCTCTGCAGTCTCAATCTGCTAGACTCGGGAATATTGTCATCGGCCGCGGTGACAAGTATGCTCGAAGATCTCGACCTGAATCAAGGAAATCGGTACTCCGTGTCCATCTTCATCTTCACAATCGCCAGCGTCATCTTCCAGCTGCCGTGTACCCTGGCAGTCCGCTTCGTTGGACCCCGGGCCTGGTTCGCAATAATTACATTTGCGTTTGGACTGCTCACCCTGTGCACGGCGTTCATCCACACCTGGCGCCAGATGATCGCCCTGCGCGTCCTTCTGGGCATTGCCATGTCCGGCATTTACCCGGGCCTGACCTATCTCATCAGCGCGTGGTACCCGCGGCGGGAGCAGCAGCTTCGGTTTGCCTTTGTCCAGTCCGGCGAGGTACTCGTCTTGGCTACAGGGAATCTGGTCAACTTCGGCCTCAACCACTTGGACGGCAAGGCGGGTTTGGCAGGGTGGAGGTGGATGTACATCGTCCAAGGGTCGATCAGCTGTTTACTGGGGATTCTGACCTACTGGTGGATGGTGGACTTCCCGGAAAATGCCCAGCGCAGCTTCTGCTTCCTCTCGGACCGCGAAGTGCGTGTGGCGGCGCGCCGGATCCAGGATGATCGAGCCGACCTCGTTCCGGAGCCGTTCGCATGGCGCACTGTCCTGGCCAATTTCACCGATCCCAAGATCTATGGGTTCTCGGTCATGTTCTTCTTGCTCAACATGATCTCGACGTGTCTGTCGTACTTTCTCCCCATCATTCTTGAGTCGGGCATGGGATTTTCGTCCAATAAGTCCATCCTTCTCTCGACGCCAGTAAGTCAGAACCCTCTCCAAATACGTTCAGACCGTATTGATGCTCTGCCAGCCCTACTATTACGCTGTAATTCCGGTCATTCTCACGTCCTTGATCGGGGATATCTACCGCATCCGAGGTCCGCTAATCATATTCAACGCGATTGTGCTCATCGCCGGATTTCTGATGTTCGGCCTCCCCGTCTCAACGCAAGTGACGGTGCGGTACATTGGGACCTTTCTTGCTACCGGAGCCTACGTCTCTAACTGGGCGGCGCTGAATGCCTTTCAAGCCAACAACATCGTTGGCCAATGGAAGCGTGCAGCCACCGCCGCAGCAGTAACTGCATGCAATGGGCTAGGCGGCGTGGCAGGCAGCTTTATCGTGCGTCAGAATGAGGCTCCGGAGTATCTGACTGCGGTGTGGGTGTCTATCGGGTGAGCCTTGCATCTTTTGAGAGTTTACGCATATACTGACTGCAGTCAGCTCCCATATCCTCATGATCTTACTTGTGGGTACCTTTTCATTGTACTTTTACATTGCCAATCAACAGCAAAAACGAGGGCTCAAAACGCTGGAGGGCGTGGTATGTTTCATTTCCCTTTCTTTCTGACTGGACCACACTGACGATGAGAACAGCCCGGATTCAGATACACTTACTAGCAAGCTTGTCTGGTCAGTGACTCCCACGAACCGACGATTTACGCAGCGACATACAATATAACGAAGATACCCACTACTCTTCCTTCTAAACAAAACTCTTTTTCTATTAAGTTTATATCGATTAGTTTATGTATACTCCTTGCTCACACTAATCCACTTTTCTGCATCCTTCATCTCGTCCGCAAAAATAGACCACCTCTGATCCTCAAGATCCGCCAACGACGCCGGCACACTACGCGAACTGAGCGGCCACTGCCCCATATCCTGACTATAACGAGCAAGCTCATCCCGGCTCTCGCTGCTGCTGCTGCTGCTGCTGGTGGTGGTGGTGGTGCTGGTAGTATTATCATGAGGGCGGCGCGTTTGCGTAGAGTGCATATACCAGCGCTGGCACTCGCGCTCTCGGTCTGTGCCGAAGAAAAACAGTTTAAGCAAATTTCGTGGTAGTAGCCTGGTGATGAGCGGCCAGATTGTGATTAGACATGCGGCGATGACGAGAACGCCACTCTCGACTTGGCTGAGGATACCGAGTTCGACGGAGTACCAGGTTAAGTCCCCTTCTGCTAGGACGGTGCACATGTAGTAGTTTACCATGCGAAGGATACTCGCCACGGTGCCCCTATCATTAGTTAGTATAACCGTCGCAATCGATAATTGATGATGACCACAAGAGAACGAGAAAACTCACAGTCCACCCAGCAAAAACACGGCCGTCAGCGCCATCTTCTGCGCCCTCGGCGCGTGCAGCTTCCACACAAAGGGTATGGGCATGATTAGTATCAAAATGCCTGTTAAGACATTCGGCGGCGACACGAAGCGGTACAGCACCTGTTGAACGAAACATGTTCCATTGCGAATGGTCTTGTCCCAGACATAAGGGACGGGCTTGCACTGGAAAATAATAGTAAAGAGAACGACAATTCCATGCACTAGGACCAAAGTCCCGACTACATAGGCGAAGATCTGGAAGCGGCGCACGCTGAAGATCCGTACGTAGAAGAGCAAGAGAGAGACTTTGGCGGACGTTACTGCGAAAGGGAAGTCGAGGATTTCGATGGCAAAGTATCCCTTTTGTAGTGGGTTAGTTATGAGTGCCCACAGCACCTGTCTTCTGAGAGTTGTACGTACCTTTCTTAGAAGGAGGAGATCTTGTGGTGCTGTAGAGATGATATAATCGACATGGTAGCCCAGACCGGCGATTTTGACCACTTCACAGGACAGATTAGCATGATGCTCTCCGTTGAAGAAAAAGCTGTGCATACAAACGATGAAAATGACCGTCTTAGCTATATTGGCAGCCTATGCGCCCCAAAATTAGCATCCACCAGCTGCGGCGTCATCCGAGGTCAACACTCACCAGTGCGACCAAAATTAGGTAGTCATCAAGCCCACAGCGCATCTGCTGCATATACCGCGTATAGAAGCGCGCGGCGACAATGAGAATCTGCACGGCGGCAAGCGCCGCACACACGCCTATCAAGTCATCGCCTTGGTAGGGACGCTCTCCCATAGTGAGTCGAGGCGATGGCCTGCTTCCACATCGGAGGAATATGTTATAAGGTACGTAAATAGATAGGTTGAGGCCTCTCGGCATCGTAAAACCCTGGCCTTTCAGAATTATTCTGTGCAGGACAAGCTCCCTTTTCATATATGCAGCCACTTCTCCAAGACACCCCACTGACCAGTGGGGTCCCGACCCGAAATTCCAAATGTCAATGGTTTGGATAGCCATCGAAACCTAAGATTCGGGATGGACCGGCGATCTAGGTCGGTGATTCCCGAAAACACAGCTTCTCCACGTAACCGAGTGCCGGCGAACCACGAAGCAAACTACTATCTGAGAATCTCATTGATCTGCGCAGGAATTAAGGTTGACCCACACGGCAGGAAGCACGCATCTGCCCCGCCGAAACAACCCGAAAAGGGTAGAGTCTTGACATCATGCCTAGCCAAGCGAGGCGTTTGCCTTTCTCCTCACGGCAGATATACCCGCGTGGGGCCTTCGTAACTTGATTTGACATGGTACCACATCCTCGGGCACACCGGAGGCTTGATGCATGATATTCGCATGAACTCGCGTATCTCGGTTACCTGTTTCGTCCGCCATCGCCAAGGGCCGCAGCCGTCCATCGGGGGTTCAGTGGGAGGGGAACTTAGGAAAGCTCCTTCCACAACGCTTATGCTTGTGGCAAACGCTACCCTTAAGCTTCGCTGAGCGTTCGTCCGATGAACCGTTCTTGCTATTCTAGACAATCGGCCGATCTCCATGACCGAGGTCCCCGGTTCGATTCGGATTTCTCTACTTTTCAGGTGTGGGGCCGAAAGGTTGTTGTTGGAAACTTCACCCTCTCTCCCCCTACCCAACAGATTGTAGGTAGTCGGCTGCGTTGGTCGAGCCTTTCTTGGTGTTGAAGTTATAGCCCCCTTCTGCGGCGGGACTATTTTGAATTTTAGTTCATCATAGACTACAAGCGTCGAGTGAATTGGGAGATTAGGTACATGCACAAAATACAATTATGTAGACGAAGGAGAAAAGGGTATATGCAAGTGAAAACGCTGGACAGGGCGGTCGCAGTATGGGCAGCCGGGGAGATAACGGGGGTAAACGCCTAAAAGGTCCCAAAAACGGCCTAGGCGACCCGGTCTTTCTGTTCCAGCTTTCCCACCAGCCGCTTCATGCCTGTCCATTCCTCGGCGGGTACCTCGTCTGGAAGGCCGCCAAGGCCCTTACCGACTTCGAAAACGGTCACAACGCCATCCAGCCCTCCAGTCGCCAGGCGACGGCCCTCCCGCTCTTCCCAGGCAATCTTGTTCAAGCTGCGGGACAAGATGCCGCCGCGGCCGCGGGTCGGAGTCGTCCGCACGACGGGGACTTCTGTATCGGTGTACAGGTCCCACACTTCGACGTTGCCGCCCCCGTCAACGAGAGAGAATACGCCTGGTTTATGCGGGGACCAGCGCGCATCGTAGACAACGTCTTCACGCGTGATATCCAGAATAGGAGAGACGACTTGTGGGTCTGCCGTGCCGGATGTCGCAGACGCGGTTGTCGCTGGAGGGCGGACCCGCCAGAGCTTCACGCTCCAGTCTAGACTGGAGCTTAGCATCAAGTCGCCGAGGTCCACGGGTCCACGGGCGGGATGGAATGCGGTGGACATAATCGGTGCCGCATGCCCGCGATAGGCCAGGCGGTGGTCAGTGCCGGCCTTGGCCCCTGCGCGATCGTACCGGTGGCATGGATAGATCCCTCCTTCTTCGGTACCCACAATGAAAAACGTTGGATCAGACTGTGGGAACGACATGGTCGTCGGAGCAAGATCCTCTGTCTTGGATGGTGGAGGCGTGGTCAATTCCAAATATTCCTGGGGCTGCGAAAGCATGTCCACCGTCCAACCACAGACCACGCCGTCGGTGGAGGCGGTTATGATATTGTGCGCGTTTTGCGTGCCAACGATCGAGATACTGTAGACGGGATGGGTATGGCCAGACCCTGTTAGCGGAGTCTTCTGAACGGGGGCGCCTCCGCCTGCACGAGACGACCGAGTGTCCCATAGAAGCACCTGGCCCGAGTACGACCCGCCCACAATCAGGTTGGGATGGAAAGGAGAGAATTTGGCTGAGAGAATATCGGACGTGGAGTGGAACACGTATTCCGGTCGAGAGTGCAGATGTTGATTCCAAACCTGGACGAGGCCATCGGGTTCATGGGGTGCAGACGGGTTCTTGGTATATGCAGCCAGCACGAGCTCAGGGAACTACAACAAAATTAGTATTTGAGAAGAACGGATATCACAGAGGGACTCACCTTGGGAGAGAAGCTGAGGTCGCTGACCATGCGCTTCTTGCTCCATCGCTCGTCCCAGAACTGGCAAACCTCTTTGATGCCTCTCCTCTTCTTCCCAGTCTCTTCGTCTTCTTCCAAATCTCCATCCACGCCACCCAGCTCATAGTCCGCCAGCACATCGTATTCCTCATCCAGAGCCCGCTCAATGACCTTAGCGGACCGCTCCACAAAGTCCAGGAAATCATCCGAGGAAGTCACCGCCTTCAGCTCATCCTCCTCGAGTGTTCGTAGAGGGTATCGTAGTTGTGTGGATTGGACAGCCGTAGAATCATCTCCAGTCTGGTTGGTGGCTTGCAGTTCCTCCTCAATCTCCGTCCGCAACTTCTGTCGGATCTCCTCGTCCCGCTCCCGCTCCCGGCGGCTGAGTCGTTTGCTCGACCGCTTAGTCCCTGCGGCGTCTTCGTCATCCGAGGCCACGGAGCCATCTTGAGATTCAGCTGAAGGGTCTGACAAGTCTGTTTGCACAGCCTTGCTGTATGTGACCACCTCCGGTTTGGGCTCAGGGGGTTGCGGGGCTGAGGCTTCGGGCACGGAAGAGGTGTACGGCTCCTCCCCAACGGTCTGCACGGCGATGGATTGAGATTGCGGTCGCGATGAAGGCACATAGGATGACTCGGCGTTCTCGCCGCTCAGCTGGCTGGCGCTGAGTATGGAGTTTGGCCGGCTTCCTCTGCGGGACTGGGTTTCGGCGCCGTGGCTGATGGATGCCGACCCCGGGCGGTCCACTAGACGGGAGATCAGGTCGTCAAGCTCGGCTCTATTGTCTGACCGGCCGGGTATTGGCGACGCAATCTACATCAACCGGATATTAGAACCCGACGGAGCTGGACACGGTGCATGAGCATACCTCTGAAGCATCGCCGACGCTGTTGCGGGTGTTGGTGAACTCCTTCTGGCGCAGCTCGCGCTGCTTCTTCAGCTCAGCAAGCTTAGCCCGCTTGGCGAGGATCTCATTTTTGCGCTGCTGCATGGACGACATCGTTGGGGCTGGGCCGTGTCTCTGCGCCGTGTTGATGCTGTCTTTATTTACAGGCGATGACATAAGCAACGGGCCGACCGGAAAAACTCGCGCAGAAAAGGGACTGAACCGCATCTTCTTCTCGCCCGGAACTCGCTGCCATTGACGCTCGACACTTGCGGATTCCCCCTTTCTGTCTTGTTTGACGTATCCCCTCATTTGTGTCTTTCTCCAGAGTCTCGCAGCAACATGGCCAGCCAGGGTGTCAACGTGAGTTTTACCCGGCCGAGGGTGACCGGCCCTTTGAATCAGGAACTGGTGGTTAACTAACATTCAATCCTGTCTGCAGGTCCTCCGCTACTCGGCTCTCGTGGCCGGTCTCGTCTACGGAGTCTACCACCAGTCGTCCCTCAACTCGACGGCGAAGCGCGCAGAAATCGAGCACGAATACGCACGCAAGGAGCGCCTGATCGAGCAGGCCAAGGCCGAGTGGAAGAAGAAGACCATGCCCCAGGAGACCAAGCCACAAGCCAGCGGATGTACGTACTCTCCCATTGAACCTTTCGTTCTATCTTGAGTTGGTCAAGAATCCAGACTAATGCAGCACAGTGATCACGAACTTCGAGGACCCCAATTTCGACCTCGAGGCATTCTTGAAGGCCAAGGCTGAGTCGTCTTAGAGTGGAACGAGAGAGGAATGTTTACGCAATGATCTCTTTGCGGAAATCGCACCTCGCCCCAGGGTATTAAGAATCGGATCGGCTCCATTTTGTGTACGATTGTTTGGGTCTGTCTAATGTGGCCCCCCGAGTCGTGTGGCATTGCAAGCGAAAGACGGGATGATTTTGTTTTTTTTTATGTTTTGTTCTCATTTGTCTTAGACGTTTTGTTCTCTCTCTCTCCGGAGTCTTGTACATACCCTGGGCTGTCGTGCGTCTGTACACTACAGTTGGACCACAAGAAAGAGCAAAAAGATCGCGTTTGTGCATTGCGGCATTTCTCTCGGTCCCAGAGCCAGTGGTGGCTTTGATCCTGTCTGCCCTTGGATGGCGGACCGGAGGACTGGTCATTCTCGTAATCTCGTAACGGGGAGTTGAATCGCTTGAGCGGATAGTTCTCTCTTCTTTTCAGCTTCCGCGGCCCCCCAGCATGCCCATGGCCTCCTGGATGCGATTAATTGACTGGGTATCGGTGACAGCTGTAGGAATTGGTTTGGGATGCAATAATTCAGCCTCGGCGTCCCAGGTCCATCCCACCCCCGTGAACTTTTGTATGATACTCGGGTCGCCCTTCGCAGCGGCTTGCTCGTCCAGACCCAGGTAGTTTGCGGCGACCGCGGGCCGGATTGCCTCGTAGGAAGTGCTCACAGCGATCAAAGTCTTGTCTTGGAAAAAGCCTGGCAGGAGCTAGTGAGCAGATTGCCAAAAAGAAAGTCAATCGGGAAGACACACTCTCATATCGGCGCACTAACGGCTGCAGTGTCTTCGGCCACGGTAAATCTCGAAGGATGTGGTAGACCTGGGCATGCTGGTTTTGCCAGAGAGCTCGAAGAAGAGTCAGGCAGTTCTGGAGAGAAGGATCCTGACTCCGCAGGGTCTCTGGCATCCGTTGTGTCAAGGCACGCGCTTCTGGTCTAGAGGCCAAATACTTTTAGTGATTCGATCTGCAGAGAGCTTGAAATGAGCACTAACACTTGGTCGGTGAGCAGATGGACGATGAAAAAGCTCGAGTAGAACAAGCTCAGCATGTGCGGATCTGTCCTGCTGGTCTCTAGGCTGCCGGGACCCGCAGCCGAGAGACAGGCCTCAGATTCATAGTGCGACAGGGTCTCGAAGAGCTGGGAGGGAGAGAGGTTGGAGGTAGTCAGGTTGTCGAGCTGGGCTGTGGACAGGCGAGGGAGGCCCATGTTGTTGTGGTGATACTCAAGGGAAGAAGAAACAAGCCAGTGACGGTGCGGGGAGATCTGGTCGTGCCAAGACCCAAAGAGACCACCTTCACACCTTCACCTTCTTCCCTTCTACTCACTCATCCACCAACCACAACACCCGTCTCTCGCGCCCCTCTCCATCAATTGGTTCGTGTGAGAGTGTCGACATTCTGTTGGATGCTGTGTCCATTGCATTGATCTGTTTTTGGCTCCTTTTTTCTCTCGGCCATTATGGCCCATCCTGCGCTTGATGTACTGCTGAAGGGCAGCTCCGGCCGGAGCACCCGCGGTCTGCTGCGCATCATCATTCTCTGTACAATTGCTGCGGCCGCCGTGTCCAGCCGACTGTTCAGTGTCATCCGTATGTTTTGGTCCATCGTCGTTTATTGCTCCATTGGTTCTGACGTGACTTCCAGGCTTCGAAAGTATCATTCACGAATGTATGCTACTTCCCCTGACCAACGCTGCCCAAGAACCACCCAATTAATGTTTTCCCAGTCGATCCGTGGTTTAACTTCCGTGCAACAAAATATTTGGTCCAAAATGGCTTCTACAGCTTCTGGGATTGGTTTGATGACCGTGGGTTTTCTCCCCCGTCCTCGAGCTTGCGCGTCATCACCACAGGTGGGCTGACTTGACTAGGAACCTGGCACCCTCTGGGCCGTGTCACCGGTGGCACACTGTACCCCGGACTGATGGTGACCAGCGGCGTGATCTACCATGTTCTGCGGTTCCTGACCTTTCCCGTCGACATTCGCAACATTTGCGTGCTCCTCGCCCCCGGTTTCTCCGGCCTGACGGCCCTGGCCATGTACCTCCTGACTTCTGAGATGACCACGTCGCCGTCCGCTGGTCTGCTGGCCGCGGCGTTCATGGGCATCACCCCCGGCTATATCTCTCGTTCCGTGGCGGGCAGCTACGATAACGAAGCCATTGCCATCTTCCTGCTAGTGTTTACCTTTTTCCTGTGGATCAAGGCTGTCAAGAACGGCTCGATCATGTGGGGAGCATTGACAGCTCTGTTCTACGGATACATGGTGTCGGCCTGGGGTGGATACGTGTTCATCACCAACCTCATCCCGCTGCACATCTTCGTCCTGCTCTGCATGGGACGCTACAGCTCCCGCCTCTACATCAGCTACACCACATGGTATGCGTTGGGAACTTTGGCCAGCATGCAGATTCCGTTTGTTGGCTTCCTGCCCATTCGAAACAGTGACCACATGTCGGCGCTGGGTGTCTTTGGGCTGATCCAACTCGTGGCCTTTGCGGAATTCGTCCGGGGCTTCCTGCCTGGCAAGCAATTTCAGAAGCTGCTCACTTCTATGGTTCTGATCACCTTTGGCCTTGGATTTGGCATGCTCGTTCTGCTCAGCGTCTCCGGTGTCATTGCCCCGTGGAGTGGTCGTTTCTACTCGCTGTGGGACACCGGATACGCCAAGATCCATATCCCTATCATCGCGTCCGTCTCCGAGCACCAGCCGACCGCCTGGCCCGCCTTCTTTTTCGATCTGAACTTCCTGATATGGCTCTTCCCCGCGGGTGTGTACCTGTGCTTCCAGAAGCTGAAGGATGAGCATGTGTTTGTGGTCATCTACTCGGTGCTTTCCAGCTACTTCGCGGGTGTCATGGTCCGTCTGATGCTAACTCTGACCCCGATTGTGTGTGTTGCGGCTGCATTGGCTCTCTCGGCCATCCTCGACAACTTCCTGGTCATTTCCGCCCCGACTCCTCCCGCCAAAACGGACACCAACAAGTCGGACAAGGCCAAGAAACCCATCGGCATCTACTCGTACTTCTCCAAGACTTTTATGACCTGCTCCGCCATCCTTTACCTGCTCATCTTTGTCGCGCACTGCACCTGGGTCACCTCCAACGCGTATTCGTCTCCATCGGTTGTTCTCGCCAGCAAGCTTCCCGATGGCAGCCAGTACATCATCGACGACTACCGCGAGGCCTACTATTGGCTCCGACAGAACACCCCCGACAACGCCAAGATCATGTCCTGGTGGGATTATGGTTACCAAATCGGTGGCATGGCTGACCGTCCCACGCTGGTCGACAACAACACCTGGAACAACACCCATATTGCCACCGTCGGCAAGGCCATGAGCTCACGCGAGGAGGTCAGCTACCCGATCCTGCGGCAACACGACGTCGACTACGTTCTCGTCGTGTTTGGCGGTCTGCTCGGCTACTCGGGCGACGACCTGAACAAGTTCCTGTGGATGGTCCGCATCGCCGAGGGTATCTGGCCGGATGAGGTGAGCGAGCGTGACTTCTTTACCGCTCGCGGTGAGTACCGCGTCGACGACGAAGCCACTCCGACCATGAAGAACAGTCTGATGTACGTCTTTTCTTTCTCTTTTTTCTGATGATCGTCGCTAACCCAATTGACAGGTACAAAATGTCCTACCACAACTACCAGAACCTCTTCCCACCCGGCCAAGCCGCCGACCGCGTTCGTGGCACGAAGCTGCCCGTCGACACCCCGCAGCTCAACACGCTCGACGAGGCCTTCACCAGCGAGAACTGGATTATCCGCATCTACAAGGTCAAGGACCTGGACAACTTCGGTCGTGACCACAGCAGCGCTGTTGCCTTTGACAAGGGGCACAAGAAGAAGCGCGCTGCCAAGAAGAAGGGCCCTCGTGTTCTGCGAACCGAGTAAACGGTGCTTCTGATATGTTGTATTATCCGTGTTCTTTACATGTTGTGTTTGTCCGTTTCTGCATGATGTCTTTTCTGGTATGTTGGGTTTTCTAGGTGGATATACTTCGGATCAGCCTATACAATCAATGCCTTGAAAGATACTACTGCCAAAACCAGTAAGGTTGATCGACCCAACACATTGGCGTAACAGAAAGCAAAGTTTGATGTAGCCTCGGTCGCAGTTGCAAGACAATATCTTGGTAGAACCCCCGTTTTAAGCAAAGGCCCAAAGAGAAACGACCAGGAAGAAAGAAAAAGAAATGGAATGGAATCAAGCAAGCGTTGCTTTTCACCCTGAACTGGAAGGTGACTGGCGGAAACTCGGGTGCCCGCGGGTCCCGAAAGCCAAACTCACCATAGATCCAAGGATGAATCGGTGTCGCCGCCTGAGTAAATAAACTTTATTTGTTCCAGACCGAACAGGTCAAGGCGTCAAAGAGGCCCTAGACCAGCTCGTGTCAAGAGGCAATTTTCCTTACTGAGTCTGCTGCTCACCCTTTCACCATGACAGGACTAGCATCGGTTCCTGGAGGTACTAGTTGCACACCCCTCGATCTTAGCCTTGATCTTCTCCAGAAGTTTTGACGGGCACGGTCAGTTACGATGGGATCTGTTTCTGGAGCAATTGTCATTGTAGGTTGAACCTGATCAGTGGAAGGTGGATACTAACCTCGCCCTTCTAGTCTGTTGAATGGAGTCTACTCGGTCTCTCTATCGCCTTGATCCTCGCTCGTCTTTATCTTCGACTACATCTGCAGCAAAAAAAGCTGATCGTCAGTGACTACCTTATTTGCCTTGCATGGCTCAGCGGCACATGGCAAGCCGCCCTTGATATTGAATTGATGAAACTTGGCTGGTTAAATTCAAATTCTACCTGGTCCAATTTCATTTATAATACACAAAGCCCTCCGTTGACGCAAAGAGTGAGCGCACGATATCACAATCTAAGGTGCATAGCTAATCATCTAGCAGATAGCATTCGTCTCGTGGTTCCCACTCTTGTCGACGCAGTATCTCAACAAGGCCGCTCTTCTCTCTTTCTTTTTCACTATCTTCCCGTGCATTTTGCGCTCGTTCTTCTTGTCCCTTTGCGCAGTCACAATCTGTACCGCCTTGTCATACATTGCATCTATCTTATGCGTATCTTTGATTTGTGTCAAAAGCCAGACGAATGGGTACGTGCCATGCCACTTAAATGAGGTTGAAATCACACATCTGACAGAGACTAGGTTTCATTTGGCTTCTTGTGGAATACACAGCTCTCTAATTGCCTGGGTCACTACCTGGGCCCTACACTTCACGACTGACTTGCTGATATTTATTTTGCCCTTCTTTTTTCTACGTCTCCTCCAATTCGACTGGAAGAAGAAACTGGGCTTGTACATTACGTTTGGACTTGCGCTATTTAGCGTAGCCGCCTGTCTCGCTCGCTTTATAGTTGTTATATCGACATACCCAGATGTGCCTATCACCAATGTTGAGCTTTTGTGTGGCCTTGATTCCTACACTGGGCTGATTGTCGCTTGCCTTCCATCTTTGCGGCCATATCTCACTATGAATCGCCCAAATTCATACCAAAGGCCACTCAGGGACGACAGGGATGACAGGAACGATTTCTGCACGCACAACTCCACACAGATGTCCATGGAGTCCGTTCTTGCCTCTCCGTCAAGCGCAAAGCTAGATGGTCAGGGGCCGACATTCCTGAAGTGGCCGTGATAGCTCGAAAAGACTTCATCTTTATGAATTCACTGCATTGAATGATACCATTTGTTGTTGTCAGTAATTCAGCCATGTTGCGCGATAATACGGAACAAATGTCTAATAGTTGGCTATTTTGATCTTCCTTATAATGTGGGTTTCAGCCCAGGGTCCCTAGATGGCCGCGGGCTCGTGCCAGCGTGATGGATGATAAGAAGCCGTTCACAATAATATATCTATAGGTAAATCCTCCCGAGAAATGCCATAACTTGGAAATTCTTTTTTCGAGAGGGAACCCTTCTGGTGAGGATCCTCTTGAGAGGAAACTGGTCATTCGAGACCCTACCGGAGAGCAAAAGCCGGACAAGAACGGATATCTTCGAGATGTTTACTCGAACAAACGTCGTAGAATATGAGTACTCAAGATTCTTGCGATGGAAGATTCTGGCTTCTGCGTGAATGACCTAATGGGGTTCCAGTACGCTCTTCGTGAAGGATAGAGGCTTTTCTGGCATGCTTTGTAGAAACTATCTTACTCATTCATCCTACTCGACGATAAATGCCGACATGCCAAATGAACGAAATCAGGTTGAGACTACAATACAAGGACTATAGGACAGAGAAAAGTGAAAACACACGCGCGCGACTTTTCCGTGATCAGCCACGTTAAAGCTAGCTACTGAGAAAGACATTTTATTGATCAAAGTCTTTCCCAGTAGCTAGAGCTAGGAGGTGGGTTTGCCACACCTTCTCCCTGTTCAGTATCTCTTGACCACCATCTTCCCTCCGGCATCTCCAGAGTCCAGGAGCTCATGTGCGCGACGGATTTCAGTATAATCAAAGACGTACGTCGGCTTGGCATCGTACTCTCCCTTTTCGATCTGTTGAACAATACTCTGCAGAGGAATTTTCGAGAACGGAAATTCGGGCGTGCCGAGCACTTTGCTGTGGAAGAGGCTAAAATGAACACCGGATTTCATCTGCAGCATTGGATTGAAATCTTCGACCGGCTTCAAGCCTCCTAGCCATCCTGCCTGCAACATCCGCCCCCCGGTCTTTGTCAAATTAATAGATTCCAACAGAGCACGGTTCCCCACCAGATTCAGCACCTTATCATACTCGGTTGAGCAGCGTGCATCGAGCCCGGATTCTTCGATGAGTGTCTCCACAGCACCCATCCCCCGCAGCAAGTCGAATCTTTCCTTTCGGCGAGTGGTTGCAGAAACCTTGGCACCCGCATGAGCACCAAGTTTCACAGCGGCCTGCCCAAGGGTGGACGTAGCACCTCGCACCAGCAGCGTTTCGCCCGGCTGAAGGTCGAGGACAGTGAAGAGACACGACCAGACGGTGATGTAAACTTCGGGGATGGCGGCAAGCTGCTCCCACGGCAGCGTCGTCTGTACGGCAATGACATTGGTGGCAGGAATAGCGACAAACTCGCCGTAGCCACCAGGCCGGTTTCTGCCAATGCCGCCCATCACACCGACGACGGTCTCCCCAATGCGGAACTCACTGCCGGGACAAGCGTCGACGACGCCGACGCATTCCAACCCCGTCACGGGGTTCCATTCGTCCCATTCCCCCTTGCGCATATGCATTTCGGCATGGTTTAATCCAAAGGCTTTGACAGCAATGAGGACCTCGCCAGTTCGCACCGTCGGCTTGGGAACTGTTCTGTACTCAAGAACCTCGGGACCGCCAAACTTGCTGATGACGATGGCGTTCATGGTGGCTGACATGTTGCGAGTTCGTTGGGCTGTCCAGATAGGTTTGTGCTATAACTAAGCCTAGCACAATACATGCAAATAGTGCTGAGTGCTAAGAAGATCAGTATGTCATGGTAGAAATGACGGGGATGAGCGTTGTTTAAATATGTTAGTCTTATGCCTCAATGCAGTAAACTGACGAGTGTGGGTTTTATACGCAATCCAGTATTCCAAATTTACGCATCAGACGGATAGTTCGGGTCGTCAATGAACGATTTCAAAGCATCCTTTCAGTACTCCATTAACCCAGAAAAAGCTTATTTCGAGTTCTAGTTCTGGGGGAATGGGCTAGATCTGGTCACATGCAAACCAAACAAATCCTAGCCACTGCGTTTAGACTCGTTTGTTCGGTTTGCTTAGTTTGACGGGGCGGTAAGCAGCCACGGTACAGACACGAGTGCCCAACCACATTCACGCTTCACGACTCCAGTCCCAATGCAGGCGATTGAATCGACCAATGATGCGACGTAATTTTTGACAGGGAGTGTTTGCATCACAGTCGCCCGAAAACAACGGCATATTTGTGGTTCTCAAATCAAAGGTTCGAATCAAATGAGACATGGGTGACATCCACGAAGATGGTCCCCGAAGATCCCGGTGTTTGCACCGCCATCGATTGGTAATCTTGAAGCAGCGAAGCGGTATTAAAGGCTCCCCCTTCGTCTTGTTGGCTTTCCAGAAACTCTTTTAATTCCCAACGCTACATACTTACGTACATTATCTCCAAAATGGGTGTGACCGAGAACAAGACCGTTGTCCTGGCATCTGGCGTCAAGATATTCTATCGAGAGCAAAACCAAGTCCCGAATTCTCCTATAATTCTACTACTCCATGGCTTCCCATCCTCCTCACACCAATACCGCAATTTGATCCCTCTTCTCGGAGCCAAATATCGCGTGGTAGCCCCAGATCTTCCCGGATTTGGATTCACCGAAACACCATCGACCTTCAATTACACCTTTGACAACCTGGCAACCACCATGGCCGAGTTTCTTGACAAACTCTCCATTACCAAATTCTCCATGTACATCTTCGACTACGGCGCACCGACCGGCTTGAGACTCGCTCTCCAGCGACCAGACTCGATCCAAGCCATCATCTCACAGAACGGAAACGCCTATACCGAGGGCTTCGGCGATGTCTGGGGTCCTATCCAAGACCTCTGGGCTAGCAACAACGCACCCGAAAACCGCGCCAAGGTTGCGCAGGCTATGCTTACTCTGGAGATGACCAAGTTCCAGTACGAGAATGGCTCTCCGGATATCAGCCGCATTGCACCAGAGTCGTATTATCTTGACTACGCTTTGATGGAGCGGCCAGGAAATAAGGAAGTTCAGTTGGACTTGTTCATGGATTACCAGAACAATGTGGCTCTTTATGAAGATTTCCATGCCTACTTCCGAAAGTCGAGCGTCCCTCTTCTTGCTATTTGGGGCAAAAACGATGTGTTCTTCATTCCGCCAGGGGCTGAAGCGTTTAAAAAAGATCTGCCACATGCTGATGTCAAATTGATTGATGCGGGGCACTTTGCCGTCGAGACGGATTTTGAGCATATTGCGAAGGAGATCTTGATCTTCTTGGGGAAAAATTCTTTGTGACGGTAGATTCAAGAAAATCGAGTTTATCACTAGGGCATTCGAAAGGGAGGCTAGAAGTTACTAGCGATATTTGAGAACGTCATCTTGGCTAGGACTCCTAGGCACACTAATAGGCGTCTGTGAGGATCCTATATATAATTGATCGATAACCACTAATATATCAGTTATTAAAAGATTAATAAAAGGACAAAATAGATGAGAAAGAATCAAAAACACGATAAAACAAAACAAAAAACGGCAGTTCCAGGAGACAGTAAATTAGAACATGGCGAGTGGATTTGTCGCATTCGCTGGCCTCGCTTGTTGGATATCCCAATGCTCAACGATGCAAGTACCATCCATTCGATACATGTCCGCAAGAGCGAGCGGCTCTGGGTCATCTTCAACCTTCAAATAGACCAGACCAGTATCATCGCCAAAGCTTGAAAACAGAATCGTGGAGGTGACATATGGGATGATTTGATTCAGCCTTGCAATAATAAAGTCGCGGTCTTGCAGATCGTCAGGATCGTGTTCAACGATGTTGGAATCGACATAAGTTTCGAAAGCCTTGGACACATTTTTTTCGCCGTACAAAACTTCGATGAAGTGCGCGAATATCTTTTTCTGGACGCTCTCGTCGACTTTGCGGCCTGGACAATATGCTGTCGTCGGATAAAACGGAAGGTTCTTGCTGTCGGTAGGGTCGAGTGCGGAGTCGACGACGTCTCGGGGAATTTTAGGACTTCCTTCTAATGCCAAGGCCAATGGAAGCAGAGAGTAGAGCATATAATGAGTGAAATGCATCTTGAATGGAGGTGATTCGATAGAAACGATTAATCTTGGGAATAGTTTTGTCGAAGTGAGCATCAAAATGACAGGGGCCGGTTACGCTATATATTCATTCTAATGAGACTTCAATTCTAAACTAGGGTTGACTATGGATGTAAAAAGTGCCTTCAAGGTTTTAAATAGGAGACTTGGAATGTACGGCTGTTATTGCCGGCTTTGCACCTAGCTCCTGGCGCCAACATATTTGTTCCAACGTCGTATCAGTGAAATGCCAATGATTTGCATTTTTTGTTACTATTGGTGGCAGCGACCTCATCCTTATTTTTCCTTATTGCCTTTCTAGGCGATCCTATCCCATGGGAGTCTTGGCAGTCAGGTACGCTGCCCATGCCAAGACTGATTGAGTGGGATATGTGGGGAAGAATGTATGAATTCTCGTTGGTATCTGAACGGGCAGACTTACTAGATTCGAAATACAAGGCTTATAAAACATAACCCATGCCTATCCCATGATTTCGTAGAATCTAGATTGTTTGAACAAAAGATGTCCGAGCTCACCCCACCGTATCTTACTCGACCCGCAAACCTATTGGCTCAAGGATGTTGAGCTGACATCACCAAACGTTGCAGTACTCGAAAAAACTTAAATATGTCCGATTGCCCTCAAACCTGGAGGTACCCAAGGATTGGCAGTATCTACAGAAAAGAAAAAAGTTCCGCTCATACCACCAATGTCAGCGAACACTCTCCCATCTACCGTGCGCGCTCTGCTGCAAGCCGACCCTACTTCTACAGCCGTCACGCTCGTTGAGCGCCCTCTGCCAACACCAGATTTTGCAAAGGGCGAGCATCTGATCCGTGTTTATGCTGCGTCCCCATGCGCGGGAGAACTCCTATGGCCTACTTTCGTTGACACTCCTGGGAAGGAGATCATTACCTGCGACGATGTTGCAGGGGTGGTAGCGAGCGCCCCCGAAGGCTCTCCATTCAAAGTAGGGGATGAAGTATATGCTCGCACGAGCTACTATCGCCCTGGGTGTGCTCGTGACTACGCAATTGTTACTACGGACGAATTAGCCGCACGTCCCCGCAAGCTAAGCTGGGCGGAGTCTGCAGCTGTGCCTCTTTCAGCAGAAAGTGCGTGGCAGGCTCTATTTAAGCATGCTGGGGTGGGCGAGTTTGATAGCCCGAACTGGAAGGGCAAACGTATCCTGGTGACTGGGGCTTCAGGAGGTGTTGGGACCTGGGTCGTCCAAATTGCAAGTCTCATAGGCGCGGAAGTGGTCGGTACTTGCGGACCAGCCAACATGGACCATGTCCGGGCTCTAGGAGCTACGGAAGTGCTAAACTATCGCTCAACCAAGATCTCTGAATGGGGCCAGAGCGAAGTGAACAAGGTCGACGTCGTCATTGACTGTATTGGCGGGGATTCACTTGAAGACGCCTGGTGGTGTCTTCGTGAAAACGGCATAATTATTAGTATAAACCAGCCGCCAGAGAACAGACGACCAACAGAATTGGCCGTATCTGGCGTGAAAGATCTTTTCTTCATCATGGAGCCATCTGGTGTGGAACTAGCGGAGATCACACAGTTGATTGACAAGGGAAAATGCCGGCCGGTTGTTGACAGTGTCTGGCCCTTGGAGCAGTTTCAAAATGCGTACAAACGTCTAGATAGTGGCCACGCCCGCGGTAAAGTCATTTTTGATATGTTGTTGAACACTCAAAAATGAGAGGTCGGTTGGTACCTTAATCAGGCTAATGGACACTGCTCCTTCCGATTATGTTGACTGGATTCTATATTTTGACCCCAAGTCCTAAATTAATGTCAAATAACTTGTCACTTTGTTTATTTAGTACCTACTTTTGGGTAAACAATTAGTCTTTATCGTGCTCTTTTCCGTGATCTGGATGGTCCATTTCTTTTTGCATGAGCAAATTGATAGTCAAATAAACCTTTTTGATATATAAAACATGCGAATACATATATGCGAATGCCAATTGTGCCAATTCTCATTAAGGAATGAAAATATTATGAGTATCAAGCAGCAGCTCAACTTGCCCGCCTAGATGAAGTGGGGGGCATTGAGGAAGAGTCCCGCGAGACAACCAGCAACAGTGCCGGCGATGGGAATAGTCAGGATCCAGCCCAGAAGCAGGAGACCAACGCGCTGGAAGTTGACGGCCTTGTGGGTACCGTTGCAGAGACCAACACCGACGGTGGCACCGGTGATGCACATTGAGGTGGAAACGGGCAGGGCGTACTGCGAGAAGATAAGCACGGTGATGGCGGCGCCCAGCTCCATACTGGATCCACGGCTAGGCGAGTGATAGGTGATCTTGTTGCCCATGACTAAATTAAGGAAAGTTAGCACCCTAGTATTAAAGGTGAAGTAAAGTAGTTGTAGCTTACCTTTCATAATATTGTAACCATAAGTGATCAGACCAATGGAAATGCACAAAGCCAAGACAGCGAGCTGCCAGATCGGGACTACTGCCTCCTCACCGGAAGGTTTACCGGTCGACCAGGCAGCGTAGATGGCGGCCCAGGGACCAACCGAGTTACCAATGTCGTTGGCACCGTGGGCAAAGGAGGCAGTGCAAGCGGTGAGAATCTGGATGAAGGAGTAGGTGTGCTCGACTTCGTTGGGATACTTCTTGGCATTTGCGTACACACGCCTCATGCGCTTGCCTTCCGGGGTGCCAGCGACACCGCTCTGAGCAGTGTGGATGTCATAGTGGGCACCATAGAGGAGACCGACGGTGACAATAGCAGGGATGCGCTTGATAACGGCCAAAATGTTGCGGGGTTCGTAGATCTCACCGGCGCCCACGGGGTTGTCGTGGAGGAAGCGCATCGCCCAAGCCAGAGGACCACGACCCTTCATGAGCTTCGCATGGTGCTTTGCCTCCGAGTGAGCCATGATTTCCTTGTAGGTGAGCTGGGGCTCCTCCGACACAACAGGCCCCTTCTCCTTGTCCTCGGCCGGAGCGGAGGTCAGGGCATCCTTATTAATGGATTCCTGGGAGAGATTTGACACTTCGGCCTCCTCGTCGTCTTGCATAACAGCGTAGTTCGGGACTTTGGCCGTCTCAGCGCCGACAACGGCAGGCCGAGTGAGGAGCAACGGACCCTTGATGAACATCCACCACTTGACAGAGTGGTCCTTCTGGATCACTCGGGCGTGGACAAAAGGAACGAAGAAAATGGCGGACAGGATGGCAACGCCACCACCACAGCTCACGGTCACTGCGGCAATATACCAGGCGGGTTTTTCCTTGAGATTGAGGTTGGGAGAGCCTTTGTAGACAACAGATAGAGTGCAAACAGTGGCAGCGACGAGAAACCAGAAGGGAGAACTGTAGACGGCCCATGGGACAGGGTTCTTGCGAATGTGCACAACGACCTTGATGAGCGTGAAGATGATGGATGCAAAGCCAGCGGCGATGATCGGAGCCATTCCCAGACCCGCGAAGACAGCACCCAGACCTTTGCCCCCGTTCCAGCCCCACTGAACCTGAGAGGCACCAGCGGTCGCGACACCGACACCAGCAACGGCCGAGATGAGTGAGTAGCTCGACGAGACGTGAACCGAATGTCTACTGCACCACATCACCCAAGACGATGCACCAGCCAAGGCGCAGGTGAAGGCCAGCATCTGTACACCAGCGTTGTCCTTGAAAGCTTCGAGGGGAATGATACCATCCTTGATCGTGGCTGCCGTTCGGGAGCCGACAGTGACCGCACCGAGGAATTCAAAGATGGTCCCAAGGATCATTGCCTGTCTGTACGAGATGGATCTCGACGACACACTGGTCGCCCAGGAATTTGCCACATCGTCTTGCTCCCAGTCAGTACGCGATATGAAGGCGGTTCAACCGGTATTATCACTCACTTGCGCCGTTGTTGAATGCATCGAGCATGGCAAACAAGGTGCCAATGGCAAAGATATAGTCATACTGATGGAGGTACATGTTGGCGGCGAACAAAAGACTCCGATTATCGACCACAATGATAACACTGGACAGTACAGCTTTCAGCGGGAGGAACGAGAAACAGGCTGGCCTTTATGTGCGATCCCAGTCATGAAAACAGACAATGGGCTGGCGCCAGTCACGCCCCATCTCCCGGGTAATTTCACCCAGTCCATCCAGTTTTCCAGTTTCAAGGCCATTATCGTTCGAGAAGGGCAACACGTGCGATCGTGAGTAGCAATACAGACCTCGCCGCCATCAATCGCAGAGAGCTTGGCAGGCATCTAGCCACAAAATCAGCCAGTAATTGTGAAGGGACATGTCGGTTCCGGGCACAACCACGCCATGAATGGCAAATCAAGACGACAGAGTCTGGTTTCCTCGGCTGACACAAAGTGAAGTTGGCGACCTTGGCAAAGCTGGGCGTTGGCGGACTTTATACGGTGGCCAAGAGGCCTGAGGGGCTCGGCGGCTCGGCATGGCTGCGGCTGCAGGGACCATCGGCCCCTATGAGTCCATCAACTGTACCCACGTGGGGGTCAGATAGGCTCGCAGGAATGCATCTTGGGATGTTCGATTCTAGAACCCGCGGAATTGTGTTTCTTGGCGGGTTGGCGGAAGTCTGCACGTGGAGGTGGACATAGACAGGAAGACGGGAAACGCTGCGAAGTCGGCCACCCCGAGTGACATGCATCTCGATCGATCAGGAGAATTCTTTCTGTCCAGTGATTCCCAGAATTTGGGTCTGCTCGCGTGCCGATTGTACTTCCAGTGCCATGAGAGATATGCAATGCAGGCGCACGGCAAACAGTGCAAACAGGATCACGTGCCCAACGCCGTGCCTGAGTGGTCTACTCTTCACCTCTGGCATCACAAACTCGACGAGGACCTTAGGGAACTATTTAGGGAACTACAATTAGTTGATGAAACCGAGGAGCACCGGTTGAAGTGATTGAGCAGTATGAGGGATCATCTGTGCCATTTCTACACTGAGATAGAGTAGGAATAAGATACATCGAGCATCGGCTTTGAAGAACGACGGGCGTTCCTTGGACGATATTGCCCTGCTTAGAATTTGCATTGCACTCATACAACTTCAAGACACCAGGACTATCCCCGACCAACTGGACAAACACAGTGTACCAGACAATGTTGAAGGGAAACCACAGAATCGACAGCCAAAAGAAAGTGAAATCAACAACAGGAAAGTCGTGGCCGGATAAAAAAGCCAAAAAGTGGCAAAGGAAATCCCTAGGTAGGCAGTCTGTACAGGATAGAACACTGTGATTGCGGAATGGAGATATATTCCTAATTCCCTAAAGACCCCCAAACTCCAATTTGCACCGTCGCTTTCATTCCGCTGGCGATGGCAGTCTACCACCACATTTCTTTCCCGAATATCCCACAGATAGATGATATACATAGAATTGTAAAAATCCGCACCCAAGCCAGACCAACAGTTGAGAGAACGAGACCGATTTATTTCTTCTGCGACTGGCTCTGCACGGGAGCGTCGGGGACCTTGACGTCGGAGAAATCTTCTTGGCCAACGGCGCGGAGGGTGTAGGTGTCTGTTTGCGTAGGATTCGAGTCAGCGCGATGGTTCTAGAAAGGCAGACGGTGGTGCGGGTGGGGATAGATAGGGTCGTTCTGTCCCTGGGCATCACTCAGGTAGACAAGAACAATGCCCTGAACCCAAGGGAAAGGGTCCAAGACGCATGGCTCAGCTTACGTACAGATACCTGCCACACAAACAACCAGCCCAAGACCCGTCACGGCGTTCTTGAACAGATAGGGCCGCCGGGCACGCAGCAGCGCCGCTCCGGCGCGGTAGTCCTTGCCGTAGTAGGTGGAGTTAAAGCTGGATGGAGAGAGTGGTCAGCAATGGACTATTATATGTCATCAATCGTAGAGCTGTCCACATACATTCCAGAAGCCATGGCGGGCGGAAGTGTTGCGTTGCGGTTGGGAAGAAGAAACGCGGAAGAAGGAAGAGGGAGAAAATGTCTTGGCGCCGGAGCTCGACTTGCCCCGAACTTCCTTTCATCACGGACCGACAGACACAACACTCGACGGAGAATAGAATCCCCTCACCCTTCGTAGTCCGCTCTGCTCTCGGTCGTTCTGTACGACGACTACGCGGCGACTGCCTAGATTGGATTTCTCTCATCCTCGTCTGGGGTGTGTCGCGCGACACGATTACTCCAGGGCCAAGCAAGCCATCTCGTGTCAACGTGACAAGGTCTTCAATTGTGCTCGAGTCTACTTTGGTAGTTTCAAGTGCCATCGTCGCTGCCATCGGGCTCTCATCTACCTCCCTGTCGGGTCCTTTCTCCCATACTTCCCGGGACCAATCCGATTCGCTTCGACTCGACATCCCCGACGCCCTCGACCACCGTACCTTTCCCTTCCCTTTTGCTCCCGGACCCAGCCAACGATGGTCGAGGCAACAGACCATGTCGCCGATCAGGTCGCCCAGCTCAACGCCGCGCGCACCCTCGTCCTCGGCGACGCCGCCCTATACCCACAGATCGTGAACGGTGTCCTCCCTATCATCGGGGCCCACGCGCGGGTCGAGCTGCGACGATGGGGCGCCGAGTTCCTGGCCGAAGCCTTCGCCAGCCCCTTACTGTCTGCTGCGCAGAAGGAGCCGATGGCGACGACTGTGTTGCAGACAATTCGGGAGCTGAGCGAGGTGCCGGACCAGGATGCTGCCGTGATGAAGGGGTTGGTACAGGCTGTGGCCAGTTTGTATCCGCCTCTCTTTAGACATATGTGAGTTTGCCATCCGACAATTGGGCGTGAGAGATTATTTTGGTAGAAGCAATATACTGATGCATATGGTGATAGTGTCAAGCACCCGCAGGACAGCACGGCGTGGGAGGACATGAATGCAATTAAGCACGAAATCCTCCGCAGAATGGACTCGTTTCCATATTCGATCAAAATTTCCTGCGTCAAGTTCTTGCAACGCGTCGTGCAGGTTCAGACACCAGGTCCAATCGCGGATCCAAGAGTACGTGCGCGCGGAAGATATTATTGTAAACGATTCTCTGACCTTTGTACTAGCGACCCGAACAAAATGAGACATCGCTGGCGATTGTCCCTCGCAATCACGCTCTGCTATCGATTCCGAACCTAGAGGCCGAATCGTCAGGTCTGCTCGATCGACTGCTAGGCGTTTTCCAAGAAGAAGCTAGGTATGTGGATACAGAATGGTGTACCGCAGCAGCTACTAATTCTCTTGTCAGTGACACGCTTCTTGTCAATGCGACCTTGAACTGTCTTGCTTCCCTTATTCGCGCGCGTCAGTCGATCTCCAACAAAATCATCAATGCAGTCCTGGATTTCTATCCAACACAGCACGTCCGTCCGCCATATACACCAACCGTGCGTGTCAATGTCAAATCGATGGAGCGAACTGCACGAGCACTAATCATGAACGTTGTGAAGAGGTACGCAGACCCAAATCCCTAGCGGAGAACCTCTACTAATAAATACCAGGAACCCAAATCACCCTCTTACGGGTAGGATGCAGATGTACGTTGAACGTCTCATGCAGTCTCGACTTGAGACGACAGACGATGCTTCACGGAAGCGTGGATTCCCCAGTGAACCGACCGACGGCCTTGATAACGCCAAGCGGGTCCGTCTTGATGCGATGACTCCTCCCTTGCTCAAGATTCCGCCGCTGCCTCCGGGCCCGCTCAGCTATGCGCAGCTCTTCACTCTAACCGAGGATGTTGGGCTGTCTTCCTTCGATGTGAAGCAAATCCCCGCCGACCTGGTTGTCAAGATTGCAATCCCTCTTCTTGCACACGTCAATCCGTCGACACTTACGCAAGCAGTTGATGTATGTGTTTTCCTTACCTATGCTCTGCCATCGCTAAAAAGTAATATCAGGCCATCCGAGCACGCCTTCAACAAGTAACCAAGCAACAAAACCTGCAACGACAACAACAAGCAGCCATCGGAGCAGACGAAGATGACGACTACGAGCCCGAATACCAACCTATGGACGTAAACGACAACGTCTCCCAAGAAGCCAGCGCCGTCGCTGCAGAGGTAGCAGAGCTCCAACCGGACCTCGTCTCTCTCGGCCCCTTCGTCCTACCCCAACCACCCCCTCTAACGGAAGAAGAAGCCGGCGAAATCGGCCGCAGCGCCGTCGCCCGAGTATTCGGCATGTTGAATATGTCCGAAACATCACCGGCGAGCGCTAAGGGCAAGACACAACAGCTCGGTTTTGCGCGGCTGGCAGGTAGCACGTTCGACCGCGATGCATGGGTTGTGCTTCTCACCCGCCTCGCCACGCGCGCACCCGCCGGCTTAGAGGGAGACGACAGCAAAGCCAAGGGGGCCAGCTCGCGGCGCCAGACGGCCATCTCAGACTCAATTCGCGAAACGCTATACAGGTATATCCTCGAGGACTTCCGCGCGCGGCTGAATATCGGAATCACATGGTTGAACGAGGAGTGGTACAATGACCGCGTTCAAATGAAGGCTGCTGCAGAGAGCCGGAACAATGAGCAAGGAGAGGAAGAAGAATCCCCGCCTACCGTGCCATTGCACTATGACACATGGGTTATCCGCCTCCTCGATGGTATTCTGCCGTATCTCGATTCAAGGGATATCAAGGTCCTCGTCCGGTTTCTCAGCGAGATTCCCGACATTACGATCCCCGTCACGCAGCGCGTGGCTAGTCTAGCCCGGGATCCAGAACGGGTTAATCTTTGCGTTCAGGCATTAATGTAAGTCTGCCCGTGCCTTTTTTGGGTTAGATCTCTGTTCTAAGAAAACTTATTGATAACGTCGACAGGTACCTGGTGATGTTCCGTCCTCCCGCGCGAGAAATATGTCTGAACACGCTCGAGGATGTCTACCAAACTTGTAAGCTCCCTCCTTCCACCCCCCTTTTCGATTGTTACCGTCCATCTGACAAGTTTGATAATAGACGAGGAATCCCGCCCTGCTGCTGGGAAGGTTCTGACGAGGTGGCGACCGGAGAAGATGCAGACTTTGACTGCGCAGTCGGCGGAGACTAATGGTGATGGTGCTGCTCCTGCTGCTGCGGCTCCCGCATAGTCTGAGATGCAATGTAGTCTGGTACCACGTGCACTCGGGATAGATGAGCAGCTGGCATCTTTTGTACGTTTATATGAGGAAGCATTTATTTGTATACGGATATATCATACTTTCTGGATCTCCTTCATTTCTTTAATGGCTTTGTGAATATATGGATGTACCACTTCAATTAAGCCCTTAGTCTGCGTAGCCCTACGAGTCTTGATACTTGAAACGTGGAACTTCTCGCGATGCTTTATGGAAATAGAATTGAGTTACAGAAGGAGCTAACCGCTCTACTGCCTACTGATGTTCCTAGGAGTCTAGGCAAAATAAAGTTCTCCTATATCGCTACTCACTTTCACCCTCCTTTCGAACTTCCTAGTGACAAACTCGATTTTCTTAGATCTACCATAGAAATTGAATAACCCCTTACCTTCACGTTCTATAATTTGTACGCCAAAATGGGCATCGATATCTAAACCTTCGTTAGCACTCGCTATCGTAAAACAAGTAGCGGAAGTTTCATTCCTATCATCGTAGGCAGTATCTAACATCTTTGACCACCTTTGATCCTAGGGTCAATATCCTTTTCTATTTGTGCAAACCCGTTTACATGTCCCGCCTTATGTCCCGAACGGGTTGCCGCTACGTGTCTTAGGCCTAAATGGCACCAGTGTCTCGAAATAGTAAGTTATATTCCTAGGCAACGTCACTTATCCGCCTCATTAGGAATGAATCAAGCTAGTGTGACAAAACGCTCAGCGGGCCTGTTCAATAGGCAAGGCAAGACAGTGTTCATTAGGAAAGACTTGACACACTTCACCGGGTATAGGTGAAGAAAACGTTCTCTCTGTCAGTGAGATCAAGAAAGGCTGCCCTTTCTCGCTCACGATCCACGTCCTCGTCCGTCCAGCCGTTTTCAGCAATGAGTCTATCTAGCTCAGCTTTCTTCTGCCTGTTCCACCGTACGTTGATATACGCCATTATGGCACAGCAGGACATCATCACCACAGTCAAAACAACGATGGCCGCCTTGCCTGGGATGTAGCCAGGAGCATCCTTGGGCAGGAAGATATAGGTACCGACAACGGAACCAGCGCCAAAAGTGAACAAAGTAAAGGCGTTGACAGTGACCTTTTTGGTGTGACCACCTACGTTGCTCGCGTTCCAGGCGTAGCAGAGCGGAAATCCGGGAGCAGAGAGGTTCTGGAACAGCTGCGCAAATTGAAGCACACCCTTCTGGCCGGAGTATTGCATGGTTGTCATAATGATCATGCCAATGAGCGTAGGAAGCGTGAAAAGCAGGGTTAGTGTCATGCGGTCGTGGATCCGATCGGAAAGCCAGCCGACAGCGACGACAGCAACACCACCGATAGCGGAACGAGGCATATCTAGCAGTAGGGACTGACGAGAGGTCCAGCCAAAACTCTTCGTGATGATGTTGCTAAAGGCAGAATTACCGCCATTCGGGACGCCAAGGCACATGATGATGACAAACATGAGCCAGGTTCGAATATCTTTGAATGTCTCGAAAATCTGATATTTCTTAATGTGTTTATTGCGAGTGCCCGCTTGGTCCAAACGGACGCGCTCGAGAGCCGCGATCTTCTCCTGATCAGATAGGAAACGAGCGCTGATGGGGGAGTCGGGAAGGAAAAGAATAACGATTATTCCATTGAGTATTGCGAGTGCCCCTAGGATGATGTATAGGAGCTTCCACGGCTGGATGGAGCCGTTGTAGAAGGTGACTCCGTATGCGACACCCCCTCCTACAACAGATGTGCTGAGGTTGCCGGCGTAGAACCAGCCGATGCGAGAGGCGCGCTCGTTCTGCTTGTACCACATCGTGACAATAAGTATAAGACTGGGAGAGACGCACGCCTCGAGCACACCAAGAAAAAAACGCAGGGCGTAGAAGGCCGAGAAATCGTTGCATACAGCGTGGAGCATGACAAGAACACCCCATAAGGTGATATGGCAACCCAGGTATTTGGCGATTGGGAACTTTTGCCCTATGTATTGAGTAGGGAACATCCATATGATGAATCCCATGTAGAACGCCTGAGCGACATCGTTGTACCAAATGCCAGTGACTGGAAAGCCCATTATAGATGCGTAGGAAAGGATGTTCTTGTCCAAGAATTGGGTGAAGTAGACAAAGACGAGAATGGGCATGATGTGAAGGTCCTAGAGACAATTGTTACTAAAGCCGCCAAATTTCTGATTGAAATAACCAACAATTTTCCGCCGCAGGCGGAGATAGTACTTTTCGTCGAACTGGTGAGCATGAATACCCGCCAGCCTGAGTGCATCATCGCCATCTGAAGAGCTAGCGTCCTCCTTAAAAGGGGGAACACCAGTCATGCCAACCTCAGCGCTGTCTATATGAGGCGATCTTCTCTTCTCATCATCAATGGCGATCCCGGAAGCGGATGTCACTTCAGTCATGGTAGGCAATCAGAAGCAGATGAGTGATGCTTCTAACAAGGGAATCCACTAGCCTTATATATATATTTGGCTTCGAGGTACTTAAGGATCACGGTACTTTGCTTTTACTTCATCCCGTACTTTCCGTTTGCGCTGCGGCACTTTTGAGATAGGCACAATATACCACCAATCGACGCTGAGATGCGTTATCATCGCGGGGAGAAGGCAGTACGATGCCGATGTACGGCTCAGGAGATACGCAAGCGGATATTCGGACCCTATCATAAAGAAGACCAGGCCCTGGGAGAGAGGGGTAGGGGGATGGGATCAATTATCGTAGTAACTTCTAGTATTGTCGAAGATAAGCCTACCATAATAGATACTACCTCCCCTATCTGAATCCCCGCGTACTATGCCCCTTGGTACTATACTCGAACCCTGATTGGGCCGCCATCGACTAGCGTGCGTGCTCCCGTCCCGGGGTCTTGATAGGTAGTCCGCTAGCCTCGCTAAGAGAGATCCCTAAGCTCTGCAGTCATCCAAGGATTGTCCCACCTTCCGGATTCGGATACCTATCGGTTGCTAGCGTTGGGAAACACCCATTTGAAAGGCCTAGGAAACAAAGGTGAGAGACCGTCTAGTACCAACAGTAGTCCTAATGGCTTCGTTCCCAGGCATAGAAGCGGAAGGTGCGATTGTAGCACGGGGCAGACTGCGTTGTCTCAAGCGAGCAGAGGATAGATCAACTCGTCTACTAGGGGGCTGCAGGGCAATATGAGAGGACGAACGCACGAACAGTGCAGTTTGATCCGTCTTTAGCTCTAAAGTAGTGTGGATATTTGCAAACAAAGAGATAAATGAGATGTGCTGAAACCCCGACCCAAACCCACGTTTGGCGACGTCTACGGAGGATGAGATCGGGAATCCGGTGTAGCATACCCTTATAGCAACCTCAACTTCCTGCGGGCTGGCAAGTCCAGCTGGTCGAGAGTTTGGTGTTACCTTGTCCATCCCACTTGCTCACACTAGGATATGGGCAAAGTGCTGTTTTTTATCAGCATATTAATCTTTCTCAAGTGGCGACAGCGTGGTATTAAAGAAATCACATACTTCTCTGTGACTGTATTGGACCTGCAATGTCATCATCTTTATACTTAGTGCCGACGAACGTGTCGGGGGCCTTGCCCTTCTCGACCCAATCGACTAGTGCCAGCAGTACGTTGTGCTCTGGATTGAGTTTACTCTGGTCCAGAGGCGCCGACTGGCCAATGTTCCAAGCCCCAGGACCAGTCGAACAGTGGTGCATCCCAGGAATGAAGAACAGGCGATAGAAGGAGTTCATCTCATTTCGTGTGAACTCGCCAGACTGCTGGGCCCCAGTGTAGTACTCCATAGACAGCATCGAAGTTACCGTCTCATCATTGCGGCCGTGGTAGGCAATGATCTTGCCACCGCGCTTATGGAATGCAGTAAGATTTGTCTCTCCGGCGTTGACACGCCCGGGATTAATCTTCATGGCGAAGTCCATGTCCGTCTCGTTGAAATCTAGAGCATTCCAGGTGCTGTCGTTGTAGACTGCGCCCCTCCAGAAATCCTAGCACAACCTCTGTTAGTGGAATTCCTATTTAAGAAGGTCCTCTAAAGCATTACCTCAAGAATCGTGTAGCTCAACTGAGGTTTACCGTCCACTTGGTTGTCTGAGAAAACGTCGGTGTTTGAGCCGAGCTCGAAGGGAGGATACACAATTTGGCCTGCCGTGTCCGCGATGGGAAGGTATGCAGCTCTCACAGAGTTAACCTGATCTGGGTTCAGACACATGGACTCATTCAATATGCCCGTTCCACAGGCAAGAATCTCGGGATCGAATCTGAAGCGAGTGGGGTCGTCTATTATGCCGTCTGTGACGCCGTCCAGCGGGTCAAGTATCTTGATCTGTTGCTCGACAATGGCCGGCCACTGCTCGGGCCTCACATAACTGGATGAGTTGATGTAAGGCCAGCCAATCCGTCTCGCCATGATTCCTTTTGACGAAACAATATGTAACCAGTCAATACCGGGAGAGCCGTTCAGAACACCGTCAAAGTCTTCGGGATACAAGTGAGCGTTCTGGAAACCCTGTCGACCACCGGTGCTACAGCCCTGATAATAGTTCTTCTGGGCCTTCCTGCCATAGTATTGCTCCACAATCTGCTTGCCGACCATGGCCTCGACGTGGATGCTCCGATAGCCAAAGTCATTTATGACCTCCGGGTGGTTCAGGAAGAAGTCGAAGCCGGTTTGGCCATCATGACCGGCATTGGTTCCCAAGGCAGCAAAACCAAGCTGTGCACCATTGCCCATAGTCAGATAATCTATACAGCCTCCTTCTCCACCAGTTCCAGTGGCAAGAAAACGCCCATTCCACTCATATGGCAGCCACGCATCCAGACGGACGGTGCTCGTAGCACTAGTGGATACATTGACCATGACCCGACAAATATCGTTGGTGATGTTGACTTTGTAAGTTGGACCGCCGCATGAGTCGACCGTATTCGGTAGGGCAAGGACTTCGCCCTTGGTGTGATGCGAGGCCGCGACTGAAGTTGCGTTCTCAATGTGGAACCTGGCTTTGGAACAGGCTCGACGCGAATCTGCCTCCACCAGGCCCAAGACCGAGGTTGCAAGGAGAACGATGTTGGCGAACACCCAAGATACCATTGTGACTACCAAAAGCTGCAATATTGGTAGACTGATTGATCGAAGCTGTTGAGCTTGACTTCGCTTCCACTCGATCTCTACTTATACACATCTCTGATCTCGGTCTCGGTATCCGACGCCGGTAGGAAGCTGGTTGGATATGGAATTGACTGCGGGGTGCCATGCGGGGAAATGCCCATAGACCCAACTCACATCTTCTCATCTGGGGAAGCAAGATGTGGTGCTCCGTGATCGACTATCCAAATCAAGACAAGAATATCGCTGGTACCCGAGGAACACATGCTTTCAAGAGACCTGCTAGGCTTTTGATGGATTGATTGAGTTCCCAGTAGGTACTGTAGCGGGAGACATGTGTCCTTGATCTAACGGAAACTTCCTTCCATTGCAAAGCTGACTTAAGAGTCACAGACCAACAAAATTTCAATCGACTTGTAATGTTAGAGAGTTTTTCAGACAATGGTGGGAAGAGCCCAGGTACCCATGGGGCTCTCTACGGCTGTTTTGCTTTCTCTGGGCGGCATGCAGCGATGCCCAGAAGCTAGTATGCTCTCTCCTAGCCATGCTATCCGATCGGGTAGGCCCCATGTCCGCCCTCGGAGCGCGGCGCCGACGACCGAACCCAGAAACTACCCCACACAGCCACCAGGGCCTGTCTGAGCGTCGAATCATTGAACGTTACTGAAACTAGGACCTAGAAGATATCCGTAGAATCATTTTCTTAAAAATTTGCGAATGTCAACCGTGCCATCAAACTATTAGGTTGCTTCGCACTTTGCTAGCATTGCAAGCAACAATACCTTCTGTCAAGGATGATGTTAGCATACAGCATTCTGGCCCCCTTCTTAAACTCATTTCTGTTACTGTCCGAGTCAAAGTTGATGTTGTGGATGATGATGTTGATGACTAACGAAAGTGGGTTACGCGACAACGACCGATAACGTCACAAATAGGATCGCCAGTCTAGTATTCTTGTTCAGATGCAGTTCCATCACAAACTTGAGAAATTTTTCTCGAAAACATAAGGCTAATCTCTCGGAATGCAGTCAGGAGGCAAGGGACCAGATCCCGAAGTAGGACCTTTCACACCCTCCCTGGAAGCAAAGGCGCTAACAAGATTGTCAGCTATTGTCTAAAAGTGAGAAACATCACCTCAGCAAGTACGGAACGCTGCGGCGTGGAGGGTTATTCGGTCAAAAATCCAAGGTACTTAGAAAATAGTCTATAACGACGCGTGCTAACCAACAACCCCAAGGAACGGACGTACTTTGACTCCGGCGATTTCGCTCTTTCCGCTGCTGATCGCGTGACCGACAACGGTGCTATTAAAACAGGCCGAGCGCATCCCCGTCGGGACAGTATTTCGCACCCTTATGCCCCTATTCCAGCTACTTGTAACGTTGACAAGGATGCCAACGAAGATTCGAATAGGCAGAGTGCGAGTCCCGAAAGGAGTCCTCTCCTTCAGCAAACAAATATCGAAGATGAACCCACAAAAAAGGAAGGACAGGACAATTTTATATTTCACCAAAATTGAGACCAAGTTATCGAACTGCAATTGAAAGAAAAAGCAGCGGAATGGCATGAAAATGCGTTATTGGAGATTGGGAATCTGAAGAAGTTGTTGGGGGAAAAGTACTTGTGCTCCTCAAAGACACTATGCAATACAAAAACATTGGAGAAAGGTCGCATTTTAACAACAGTCAGTGGTAGCAACATCCAGAGTGGATTGAATTATCTCCGTCTGATCCGGTGACTGCTGAACCAAGGCTGGGTTCTTAACAACCGTGAAGCTGCTTGGGAAACTGAACAAGGGAGTTCAAAGACAAAAATGTCTTGCCAGCACATTAAAACAGAAATTGGAAGTGCAGGCAATATGGCAGTCTGCTGCTAGCGAATCAATGTAAGGTTAATTAGACACTTTTAACGCTGATCATGATGATCAGCAACAGATTTGTTATGGCTTTTGACTTCCTCCGACTGGGATTTAGAATCTAATTCACCACTCTCGGTATTAGGCCCTTCACGATAGACTTTGAGACTGTCATATCTATGATTTCCTTGATTTATTTCGGACTTTGCAGAAGTCGACTTGGACAGTTCTGGTGAAGACAGTATTTGTCAGCACATAGTAATTTAGCTTCGTCCGCGGGATGAACATTTACCTTCCTTCTGGTTTGCGTCCTTTCTGCTCAGATCAGCTTGGGACAATTTTCCGCGGCCTTTCGTTTTTGGCTTGTGACGCGTCGACTCCTCTTCAAATAGCAAGACCTTACTTCGAGAGAACGCCATGTTGCGTCGAAGATAAGGATTTATAAATAAGCATGTTTGTGCATGTCGTTTACCAATCACTTGGGGAAATCTTTGCATCATGAAAGTGAAAAAGTGTCGGAAAATTACTATCCAGGAAAAAAAATTGGCACTTTGTCCATTTAAATGGTCTTGTCGAAGATAAGGCCAACTTAAGTTGGTCAGTAGCCCCTACGTAGCTAGCCACGGTTTTGAGCTCCCTGATAACCTAGGTAGCAACTAATATTCCAAGAGGATTTTAGAGCCATGGATCACGCTTCATTAACTTTCTATTACCACAACTGCACCTATTTCGCAGACCCTACATTGGACAGCAAGTCTCCAGCACCACCTATGACGCAATATGTGTGGCCATCCTTCCAACACTACCCCCCATGTTATGAAGGGGTGCTGGTTAGTCACTATATCCTCTCTTGTGAAATCAGGAATCTGCGGGCCATCAAGATAAACTTCTTCCAGCTATTTTTGCGAGTTTGTCCCAGTCACCCCTTTAGATGTAAGGAGATCACTTCGTAAACGAAGATCAGCGTGAAAACTTGATGAGACTGATGGGAAAATAATCGTCCGGGCGCTTCTTTCGCAATTTCAAATTCTTCAAGCATATGTACTACGCTTCATCAGTTTGGACCCGACGACAAATCGGCCACTTCGCTGTTCCCAAACCATAGGAATGTCGTTTCGTAGTCCTACTGAACGCCGGATTGACTGATGTTTCGGTGATCTCTCTTCGGTATAGGGCACCCTTTGGTAATCCGCCTTCATCAATACCGGAATCGGGACCGTGCGTGAAGGGATCGCTCTTTGGCATGACCTGAATCGTGTCGGAGATTGTTGCAGCAATGGCCTGAGCCATTATCGAACTGAGCTTTCCCTTCTTAAACCAACTATTGCATTTTCGGGTATGACGCCCCACATCTTTATGCTTTTGCCGATAAGGAACTGTGGGTCTTGATCCTTGTAGATCTGCTCAAGATCAAGACAGTTCTTCAGAATTACCTCACAGGCTTGTCGAAATTCAACCTTCAGGTTGTCATCAGTGACCCTCCACACCTGCCACTCACCGTACTACTTTACAGTTACATCTCAGGGCCCCAAAATTCGAAGCGGGCTCATAGCTGTCAAGCCTACCGTCGACTTAGGAGCCAAACATCTGTAGAACGGCAGTTACCACCACAGTTCTGCCCAAATTATAGCACGGTAAACTGAAATAGGATTAATGCATTTCGGATTCATTTTCCGGGAGTCAAGTCGTACGTAAGACTGTGTAGGTAAAACCGAATTCGAAAACTACTGTACAAGGCCATGTCACGTAACTATATTGGCGGTGATCCGAGGCAACCAGAATTTCCATAATAGGATCCCAGTCTTGAGCAGTGTCCTTCCAGGGTGGAGTCCCTTGTTTCGGGTCAAATGTAGCTGCATAAGATGATGTTATCAGGCCCAATACCAGAGTTCGTGACGGCAGCGCAGAGGTGAGGGCCGATGCTGTCCCCGTGTTTGCCGGGATGAGAAAAACTTTTCGACCGATCTAGGGTTCAGGATGGGCGCGAGAAAGATGCGCGATCGGCGAAAGCATTACAATTGCCCGGCAGGATCTAAGCTCCATAGGGCCATCAAGCGGGATGCCGCCAGTCTGGTCCGATCGGTCTCAAGGTAAAACCGGATCTGCTCAGAGCGGAGCTGTTCGGTCGCAGGTAGTAAATTCTCTGCACGAATAATCTCCTGCATCGTTCTGTCTTCTCTCAAGTAGACTGTTCTGCCCTGTATGAACCAGAGTATCACTGAAACCACCAACATGATGCCGAAAGCTACAATCGCGTAGTTCATTTCATTTGGTGGCGGATTTGGCGTTTCTGGGAAGAAGAAAAATACCGTGATAATGCAACAGTAAACGACGCTGATCCAGTTGAGCAAATAGCCCCAGCGGCCAAGGTCAAATTTCCGCGACGGTAGTTTGTCACGACCAACAAAAACCAAGGTGATGATGGGCAACCCATATGAGATGGTCAGGGCGATCGTGCTGGCACTTACCACAGCCTCAAGTGCTGTTCGGCTAAAGAGGTAGAGCACTCCAACCAGTGCGATAATGAGGCCATCGACACACAATATCCGCAGGGGCACATTCCAACGGGAGTCAATATGCGACAAATAATTGCCCCAGGGAAAGCCGCCGTCACGACACAAGCCCCATGTAAGACGCGACGTGGCCGTCATTACGCTGACGCCCTGCCCTATGCCATTGATTTCAAACAGAACCACCAGCGCAACTGCGCCACCCAGTCCCACCGTGGTAGTTGTTAGCTCCGTAAAAGCGAGACCCGTCAGGGGGTGTAGGATTAAATATAAATCCTGGATGGTGAACAGGCAGACGACCATGAAGAGAGCTCCCGTCAACGCGCCAATGATCACGACGAGATAAAGTACTCGTGGTATATTAACCCGTGGAGCTGGGATCTCCTCTGCCATATGGATTACACAGTCAAATGCGGACAGGCCATAAGCGGCGCCGCGAAGCCCGATAAACCACACAATGCCATCAGACCAGCCGGTTTTGTTAAGCCATTGGCCAAAGACAAATGATGCCGGTTGGTATCGCAGGTTCGGGTGAATTCCGACCGAGATAAGTATCGCCAGGGAGAACGCGATAAAAAGCGCACCGTATTGGACGGCGACGACGTTGTTGAACCATGGCAGAATACTATCCTTGCGGCACGCTATCGCGTTGACGATAGTAAATAGCAGTGTGATACCAATATAGACAATAAATAGTAACCAGCCACTAGCGCCTTGCCACGCAGGATTGACCATTGAATTGGTTGAGAAGATGAAGTTAGTCATGAAGGCAGCTTGGGACGCCGTGGCAGTCCACCACCCAAATGTGTTTATCCAGGCACAGAGGTACGAGAGGAAACGCCCTGCAGGATGGTCCCAGAGACGAAATACCCAGTAAGCTTGCCCCAGGGTAGTGGGCATACTGCTGCAAAGCTCGCCAAGTGATACGGCGACGCAAATGTTGCACAAGGTAACAGTGCACAAACCCCAGAGAATACTGACAGGCCCGCCGTTGGCCAAGCCACTAGCCAGGTCGTATGCTAACGTTGCCCAAGTGCCCAAAATATTGAAGGCTAAAGCGAGCATGCTCCACGTATTGAACTTGCGCGAGAATGACTGCTTGTAGCCCATGGTCGCCAGATCAAGGTGATCGTGGACTATCTGATCCATAGCGGGTGGTTATTCCAATAGAATAATCCCCTCTAGACCGCTGAACAACTCATCATCGTTTCACGCATTCGACTGGTTCAAAGCACATCTCGTTCCACGCATTGTATCAAACGCCATATCGCCTTAGCGTTCGGAGTATTTGCGAGTAGGCTGCATTAGCTGATAGGGATAGACTGGTGCGCCGCCAAGTTTGTTGGTTCCTAGAAGTCAATGACGTGCAGCGGGAAAACCAGATCAGGTGATTGGGGTTCCTGAGGCGTGTAAGATCGGGAATCTCTTTACAGAGCTCTTACAGCTCACATGATCGACCCCTCCTTTATTTAATTGTTGCTCTACTAGTCTTTTATAAAATTGTCTTCCAGAAATTCATCAACTTAACGGTGATGGAGGCTGGTTCTCGCGTGGGTGCTTGGTGCATTCGGATTTGTCCTCATTCCAGAAGGGATATCACAATTTCCTGCCGACCGTACTCCGTTGCGTTCACCAAAGCCTCCTCCGGGTGGAACCTAAATCATCATCCCATGTTCGATAACCCTGCTTCCAGACATTATATATAGAGGGAAACATAGCCCTTTTGCCGAGGGAATGCATGGGGAACTGTTTTGCCAAGCTCGCTATATGCTCGGGGGCAAAAGCTTTCGCGAATTTCAGATCCTCAGGGTAGATCTGAACTCCATGGCGCAATAATACTTCCATGATGCCGATATGACGATGAACAATTGCTCTACCGATTGCACTTCCGCGGAGGTTTGGTAAATTGGGATCTGTTCCTTGTGCTAGGAGGAGGGTGACAATTGCCTTGAGATCTAGGGCTCTGCCGTTACCAACTGGGGCGAGGAGGTCAAACTAGGTATCCAAAATGATATAATGCTGCATGCTAATTCGAGTCTATTTTGTTTTCAACCCCTCTCTCCAAAATAGACCACTCTTCCTTCTCGCTATCCAGCCGACACAACGCGTCAAGCGGCACCGTCAACATAGGATCGGTATGCCCCACATCCACAC